CATTGGGACAATTGATCATTGGGACAATTGATCACTGGACAATTGATCACTGGACAATTGATCACTGGACAATTGCTCAGGACGAGGGGGGGTAAATCAAAGGTCAAAGTCTAGGTCAACGTCTAAGGAAGCCTATGTCTAGTGCCCTACTGTCTACACCTATTGAATAAGAACCCGTGCCTTTGGATATAACTGGCAGGTATGAAAGCCTGAACCTGTGGAGAGGGTTTTTAAAAAAGGGGGGTCGGTCATTTTTGGTGCCAGATTTTCAGTGCGGGATTTTTAGTGTGGGACAGTCGGGGACAATTGATCACTGGACATTTGGTCCTGGTACAATTGACAATTGGGACAATTGATCATTGGGACAATTGATCACTGGACAATTGATCATTGGGACAATTGATCATTGGGACAATTGATCATTGGGACAATTGATCACTGGACAATTGATCACTGGACAATTGATCACTGGACAATTGCTCAGGACGAGGGGGGGTAAATCAAAGGTCAAAGTCTAGGTCAACGTCTAAGGAAGCCTATGTCTAGTGCCCTACTGTCTACACCTATTGAATAAGAACCCGTGCCTTTGGATATAACTGGCAGGTATGAAAGCCTGAACCTGTGGAGAGGGTTTTTAAAAAAGGGGGGTCGGTCATTTTTGGTGCCAGATTTTCAGTGCGGGATTTTTAGTGTGGGACAGTCGGGGACAATTGATCACTGGACATTTGGTCCTGGTACAATTGACAATTGGGACAATTGATCATTGGGACAATTGATCACTGGACAATTGATCATTGGGACAATTGATCATTGGGACAATTGATCATTGGGACAATTGATCACTGGACAATTGATCACTGGACAATTGATCACTGGACAATTGCTCAGGACGAGGGGGGGTAAATCAAAGGTCAAAGTCTAGGTCAACGTCTAAGGAAGCCTATGTCTAGTGCCCTACTGTCTACACCTATTGAATAAGAACCCGTGCCTTTGGATATAACTGGCAGGTATGAAAGCCTGAACCTGTGGAGAGGGTTTTTAAAAAAGGGGGGTCGGTCATTTTTGGTGCCAGATTTTCAGTGCGGGATTTTTAGTGTGGGACAGTCGGGGACAATTGATCACTGGACATTTGGTCCTGGTACAATTGACAATTGGGACAATTGATCATTGGGACAATTGATCACTGGACAATTGATCATTGGGACAATTGATCATTGGGACAATTGATCATTGGGACAATTGATCACTGGACAATTGATCACTGGACAATTGATCACTGGACAATTGCTCAGGACGAGGGGGGGTAAATCAAAGGTCAAAGTCTAGGTCAACGTCTAAGGAAGCCTATGTCTAGTGCCCTACTGTCTACACCTATTGAATAAGAACCCGTGCCTTTGGATATAACTGGCAGGTATGAAAGCCTGAACCTGTGGAGAGGGTTTTTAAAAAAGGGGGGTCGGTCATTTTTGGTGCCAGATTTTCAGTGCGGGATTTTTAGTGTGGGACAGTCGGGGACAATTGATCACTGGACATTTGGTCCTGGTACAATTGACAATTGGGACAATTGATCATTGGGACAATTGATCACTGGACAATTGATCATTGGGACAATTGATCATTGGGACAATTGATCATTGGGACAATTGATCACTGGACAATTGATCACTGGACAATTGATCACTGGACAATTGCTCAGGACGAGGGGGGGTAAATCAAAGGTCAAAGTCTAGGTCAACGTCTAAGGAAGCCTATGTCTAGTGCCCTACTGTCTACACCTATTGAATAAGAACCCGTGCCTTTGGATATAACTGGCAGGTATGAAAGCCTGAACCTGTGGAGAGGGTTTTTAAAAAAGGGGGGTCGGTCATTTTTGGTGCCAGATTTTCAGTGCGGGATTTTTAGTGTGGGACAGTCGGGGACAATTGATCACTGGACATTTGGTCCTGGTACAATTGACAATTGGGACAATTGATCATTGGGACAATTGATCACTGGACAATTGATCATTGGGACAATTGATCATTGGGACAATTGATCATTGGGACAATTGATCACTGGACAATTGATCACTGGACAATTGATCACTGGACAATTGCTCAGGACGAGGGGGGGTAAATCAAAGGTCAAAGTCTAGGTCAACGTCTAAGGAAGCCTATGTCTAGTGCCCTACTGTCTACACCTATTGAATAAGAACCCGTGCCTTTGGATATAACTGGCAGGTATGAAAGCCTGAACCAATTTAGTGTTTTTGAAGCTTCAGTTTGGGTTGCTATACCAACTACACAAAGGAATTCACATTACTTTTTTACGAATCGTTCGCGAAAAGCCCGATTTTCAAGAAAAAGAGTTGACTGCATGTCTTTCTGCGTTGATTTATTTTTGTAGGATGAAACAGTTTCTAAATCTCTTTGAGCTTGAATGAGTTGAGAGCAGTGTTTGGGAAGCTCGTAACAAAACTGTTCTATTTCTCAGATTATTGTTAGGACTACGATATTGTCTTTTATAATAGGTTGAACTTATTTAAAATTGTCTATCATATTCCGTAGCATCCGATAAATACCGAAGGATATCTTCGGCAAATTTACAACCGTTCTATAGTTAATTTTTAACATATTCTAGAAACTTATATAATATAGAAAATTTCGACAAAATTATTAAAATTTTTATTACTTGTGAGTTATCTTATACCGGTTCTGTTGTCATATTTATGAGAACTCATTCATATCTAAGTACAGAATGTTTTTTTTATTTTTATTTTTTTTCATTTAATCATCTTCAGTTTCACTCAGGTGACATTGCAAAAATTTATTTTTTATCTCTCATCGAATAATGCCACAGGGAAAAAATGCCCACAAGAACTTATATGAGATAACTCACAAGCACTTTTTCTTTGATCATTCTTTCATTATCCTGGCAGTTTTTCTTTTAAATGTTTCCTTAATCTTTGTGTACTTTGTCATAAGTTCCTAAAATATTTTGTTTTTTGTATATTAAAAATTACTTGCCAGCATTTTTGTAGGAAGAAACATATCCTGTATTGACAACAATATCTTCTGTAATAGTATTTTTGTAAGAAATATTTGTTTATTAAAATTTCGTAGTACTTATTTAATATCCTAATATCCTAATGAAACATCCTAATGAATAATCCTAATGAAACAAAAATGGTCAGAAATATTTTTTCTTCCATATGTATTTTACTAATAGAATCCATACCTCTCCCTGCTTTTCCCTTTCCTTTTCCATCTGTATCAAACCTCTCTTTGTGTGCTCCTTCAAATAATACATTTTATTTTCAAATTTAAATATAGTAGTTATGATTAAATTAAATCTTTTATGTCGCTTTCCTATAGATAACCTGTGTATTTGTTGTGGTCTGTCAATCTATAGTAGAAATGGAATTCTATTCTATGCAACTAGGTTTTGAAATGATACCTTTCATAGACATTTCCTTCAGTTGATACTTTTATTGCAGTTTTTAACGTAGGTAATTCAATGGCCTCCAACTTTGCGCAGATGGTATCTATTTCCGCCTGTTTATTTACTGAAATATTTTACATTAGATATATGTAGGTATCACCTGAACATCATTTTTGCTATTTTTCGATCTATCCTTAGCAACATTTATGATCACTTGTTGTGTCTATTGATAATATTTATTAAATTCGCAACAAATGTAATACCTCATTAAATGTTGCCTTCTTTTTTTGCCTTTAATTTAGTTATTACATTCAATTACTTATATTATGAGTATTTTATACATTTATATTATAGTAAACATACCCTGTAACTTTTGAAAATGCCTGTTGAAATTAAACAGAAATTAGACTTTTATAAGCATAAAATTCTTGAAAATATAATTTTTATTGTAACTCACAATTCCAGTCATTGTCGTTGTTATCAATTTCCCATCAATAACATTAGCATCCTTTAGCCTTAATTTTAGTAATGATCTTTACTTTAGTGTATGATTAATTTTTATTTAGAATATTACCATTTGTCAAAATTTTTTCCAGTCATCTCCACTGTTTTTGGAGCTTGAGCAGAAGTATAGCCAAATCTTGCGAATGATTCCCATCTAATTTTCATTAATTAATGCTATAACATAATGGCTCACTTTCGTTTGATTTCTTTTGGATCCTTCCATCGGAATTCGTAATCTATCTTTTCAGAAGAACTTTCACTATGCGGCATTTTTATGCAATACTTTTAGTATAAAAATATTTCTAGAAATAATAAAAAAATATTACTCTAACTTTGGAAGCTGGCAGTTAGACACTATTGCAAGCCTAATGGTTTTCAGCTGACAGATATTTATGCTGAGGGGCATTTCCTAAATCCAATGTGCACTATTTTTTAACTCGCAGTGTCAAGTTAGAGTTGCTGCAACTGCCTCTTTCCGTTGTATTGTTTGAAATTGATTTTTTCGCATTAATTTTATGTACATATCTGTATACATAGATAAATATATGTACATATATGTTATATCTCAACTAAAGTTTTTTTTATTAAACTGTGTTTTTTATTTCTAGTGAACGCTATTTCTAGTGAAGTACAATTTGTACAATGATGTACGCAATGTACAATTCCCAAGTGTAGTACAATTCCCAAATAGCAAACTCTCAAATTTCCATGTTCAGTCTCAATTTTATGGCCTTAAATAGTTGAGTTGTTAAATCCTAAACGCTTAAATCCTAAATCAACAAATATTCTATTAAATACATACATAAATTGCCATTTTATATCGCGAATTATTTGGGTACATCCCAAAACGGCGCGCGGTCATAAAAGCGTAAGCCATTACCTGCTGGAAAACGTCTGACCCTTATCAATTTTTGGCAAAATTAGGAAATATTAAAGTTATGGTTTTGCTCCGTTTTGGCCGCGCGCCGTTTTGGGCGCGTCCCATTAAAAATATCCTCAAATCTTAATAAAATTATCAAATTATGTTTAGTTTATTTTTGTCATTTAAAAATAGTCATTTTTATCCAGCTTGTCGATTAAATGCAGATATATGAAAATGAAAACATATCATTTATCCATGGCTCAATCATCATTCTTATCCATTTGTTGGATTCGCATCGGCAAAATATAAGTGTATCGTTAACATGTACAAGCCTATCACCGGCTAAATTAATACATAAATAAAGTATAACTACATAGTAATCTGTTCTAATGTTAAAATTTTTTTCATTATATTCCCTATTGTTTATTTTATATTTTCCTTTACTAAATTTATAACTCACTTTCCATGTCCAATCTTCCTATAACACGAGCTAAAGACCGCATTCCTTTACATTTGACATTGAAGATTTTATCCAACGGCCTACAGAAAGAAATTCTAATATGATTGCTCAGCTCCAATGTTTGTTCGATACTATCAAATTTACCACATTCTTCGTCATCTAAATACATTAAAGCTTTAATTAAGAGTATAATTTGAGCGAGTACTATTATTTCTTTTTTTCATAGTGCAAACCATACGTATTTCATTATTATTCAAATTTCACTCATTTTAAAAATCACCTAAGCAAGAGCATATTTGATGTTGAACCTTTTCTACAGGCTCCATGGAATAATCGTATGTTGGTGTAGTTGGTACAAATTCATCATATATTGGGAACGACATACTCATCGGCACAAAATGTAATTTATCATCGTCATTGTTTTCTCCTGATCCTTCAGACACACTTTCATCATTTCTTTCATTATGTCCTTCTTTGATGTCATCCCTTTCATCATTAACTAATTCTGGAAATTTCATTAATTCAACTGCGCATGCCTGTTGATAATTTCGACATTTTGGGTAATTATTCGACGATACGAGAATTATTAATAAATTTAATGTGAAAATAATATGACAGGTATTTATCATTTGCTTATGTAGTATATAGAACGAGTTAAATTCATTCTTTGTCTGAATCTTTCTTTTAAAATAAACACATAGTTAATTATCTCGAATTTTTAAATAAAGAATAGATTCAGGTCTATGTTAAACTGTTTTCTCCTACGTGTCAGTCTAAAACGCGGAATAGACAAAACAATGAATATTTTTAAAATCAGATATTTTTTAAATCAGAATATTTTAAAATCATACAAGTATTATTTCTCTGGACTGTGTTTATCCCTTCCATGCTAGTGTTTTGTCTGTTCCGTGTTTTCAAATTCCTCGTTTGCTTCTCACCCTTTTTAAAAATATTTGGCCCTAGGCTATTATGGGCAGATTAAGAGTGCAAATAAGTTTTTAAGGAAAATAGTGCATGACAAGCGATAAATTTTTGTCTTTAAAAATATTAAAGGTATTCCTAATTAAGAAAAAATATTAAAAATATCTTATGTTTACGAATAAAATCTTAGGAACAGCTGATTTATGCCGTGTTTATTAAATGAGAAATTTTGTTTGTTGAATGAATTGGCTTATTTAATTGGATCAATGTTGATGGTTTTATAAGAATGTAATGAAAAGATATAATAGATGAGCTAAATATAAAATTTCAATGACTAAGCACAGCAAAAGAAACAATTGGAAAACAATAAATAAATTTAATGAACAACTCTCGATTTGATGTGACTCAACCTGCTGACATTTTATTTGGGATATTAAGTCAAGATTTATTAAATTTTCAAACTCTTTGGAATTATGATCTGAAACAGATTAAATTAAATAAAACAAATTTAAAGAAGAAACTTTAGATTGTCTATTGATCTTAATCATTGTGATTTGTTAAAAATAAATTCTCAAGAGGGAATTTTTACAATTACAAACAGCAAATGTTTCAACTAAAATTGGCGCAATTTTTCCATTACTTTTTTTACTTTCCATACTTTTCCTTAATGTACAAATGTTCAGACTTTCCTTCCTCGTTCACTTTCACTCAATTTGCCTATGACCTAATCAAATGATATGTAGATGAGTGAATGAAGGATCAATTTCTAATGCGTTTGTAAAAAAATTAAAAGAAAATGGTTGAGGGGCAACTTAAGCAATTCCAAAACACGACAATTACAACAATTTTATCTTGGAATATCTAATTGTTCAAATCGGTTTCTTTTATCAGCAGATATTGTAATTATTTGAACTTTTCTTTATCTCTTATGTATATTATTGAGCACTTTTTGATGAGTAAGGCATAAAAATTTATTAACATAAGACGTTTAATTGCCTATGTATTTAGTAATTTGTATGCATATCTATTATTTTTCTTTTATTGATTGATGTTGAGTAAAATGAACGAATAAAAGATGAGAGGCATATTTTAGTAGATGAAAGATGCGATAGATAGACATGTCAGAGCATACGAAACATTTATGTATAGATGAGACGGCCTAGCAAATGATAGATGAAAAGACATGACAGAAAATATGTAGTCATACTACTTTTAGTCGTTACTCATATAAATGTGCATGCATACTGCTATTCTGGCGGTGTTTTGATCATTTTATGATAATATATACATATGTATTATTTCGTATCTTTTAAGATGAAACTTTTAAGTTCATTGTTACTTTGAACTACATAAAATTGTGTACGAAAAAATACATATGTATTGTAAAAATATTTTTAGTTGACAAAAATTGCAAAATCTTCCCAATTTTAACTATAAATGACCTTATTATCGCAATTAAAATACAATGTACTTTATAAGATTCTAAATTTCAGGCAATGTGTTCTCATCGGCTGGCAATAGCAAAACTAGTTCGTGAATTTAAAGAACCACTTTTTTCTCATTCATCACAAGTTTCCCGTCAAAATAAACAGGAGCTTTGGGAGTATATTAGACAACAAGCAGTTAATCAAGGAGCTTCCCAATATGCGAGGAAATCGTGGAAAGAGGTGTTTGATTATTAAATATTTTAAACTCATTCTTAAAATATGTTATTGGGTGTAATAAGGGAATATAGTGAACTTTCAATATGTTTTATATTTTTATAGATTCGAGATTGTGTTTGGGCCCCTATTAGACGTGACACAATGGCTAAACTGAACAAGGCTAAGACAGTTGGTGAAGACTCTGTTGTTTTTACCGAGGTGTTTATACGATTAAAATATAATTTAAACTTGAGAATTCTACTATTAGATTGACAAAATTGTTATTGAAATAATTAGCACAATAGGGCTTATGGGGTGGAATGCTGAAGATGACATTAGATCTCCGATGGATATCTTTATGGAGAATGGCTTTAATGATAATATATCTCACCAGCAACACTTTTCCCGGGATAATACAGTTTCTTCTGGTAGTTTAATTCGTTTTATAAATTGCGCATCTCTAGACTTTTCAGGCTGTATTAATGATAATAGGGATAACTCTGATGACGATATTACCGAAATCGAGGGAAAGCCGTGTGATTCTTTAAGTCAAATGCTGGAATTAATTCGTGAAGCGCCCATGGCATCAATGAATTCTAAAACATGCTTCGATAGAAAAGAGAATGAAAATGGATTTAATAATAGAGATCAAGAGCGTCAAATTTCGGCATCATCAAAGAGTCAATTCGCTGAGGTATTTATATAAATTAGCTTTGTCAATATCATGATTTTATCCTTAACTGTTGATCAAACAAATATTTATTAATTTAAGGGACTATATCCACAAAATCCTCATAAAAGAAAAGCCTTAGATCAGCAATCAATTTTTCTAAAACCTTCAGAGTCACCTGTATTTGTGCCTTCATATGATTCTGACACTGAGTCAGACAAGGCTATAAAACGTGCTAAATTGGAACAACTCGAGTTGCAAAAAATTCTCTTAAAAGTTTGTTGATTATAGTATTGGTCAAAATTTTTATTAAATTTTAGGAACAAATAGAGGAAAAACGTTTACAGAATCAACTTTTGCAGATTGAACTTAAAACGAAGAGAGGAAAGTAAAAAAGATTGTTTGTGTAATTCGATCATTCCTTTAATTTAAATCCAATCTTACTTAACTACAAACTTTGTTATGTATAAGGACCGGTACTTTCCTGGGTACTTTCCTGTTATGACGCAACAGTCAGTTTTTTCGTCAGTTTTTTCAAAAATTATGTAAAAATGGTCAGTCTAAACAACAATTGTAGAACACATCGAGCTTTGTCGAATGACACCAAAATCAACAAAATTCGACTTGATTTGACCGAAATACAGACCCCTAAACCACAGGGGCACAAAATCATAAAGACGAAAATCTATACAAATCATAACTCATTCGAAAGAGCTCGTCGAGCTGAGTCGAATGAGACCAGAATCAACCAAATCCGACTTGATTTGACAAAGTTATGACATAAGTCGTCGACTCCGGTAGGTCTAAATAATGTCATAACTTTGTCAAATCTCCTCAGAATTCGTTGATTTTGGTATCATTCGACTCAGCTCGATGGGTTCTACAATTATTGTTCAGACTGACCATTTTTACATAATTTTCGAAAAAACTGACGAAAAAACTGACTGTTGCGTCATAACAGGAAAGTACCTAAGGACCTTGTTATAGAAATACTTAAATAAAAATTATAAAATATATTTGTCTCCATGGCAACTCTTAATATGTAAAATTTAAGATATTTTAAACTAAACCTGACCATGACTTCCAATCTTATTATATTTAATCAAACAAAGGACGAAGAGTATAATATTTATAACAATTTTCGGCACTTACATAGACACATACGGAGCGGATGGGAAGTTGAAATGTAATGATTAAATGAGAAATGACTTGATATTGAATAGGATAGGGGCTTACAAATTTTATCCCAAAAATATTAAAAAATTCTATTTAGCCATCAGAACGATGAGATAACTGAAAGTATTCTAGGGAAGTGTCGAATTTTTGTTCTTCCTTGCCCAAAAGTAAAATTTACTGATGAAGAAGTAAGTTTTGTATATCCTTATAATTGAACATTCATGGTTAAAAATTCATTAGTTCTCAGCCTTACGCAAATTTCTAAAATCTGGTGGATCTCTTCTAGTTTTATCTAGTGAAGGAGGTGAAGAAAAAAATAGTACAAATGTGAACTTTCTACTTGAGGAGTTTGGGATCTCATTCAATAACGGTAGTTTATTGTCATTTAAATTCTGGGCATATTGTTAAACAGATTCCGTTATCCGCACAATTTTCCATAAGTACTTCGATCCAAAAGAGGCTTTAATTTCAAACGGTGTGCTTAATCGGTCGCTTCCTATCGGAGCCGGTGTTTTACAGACACAAAGCTTATCAAATACAAATATTGAATGGCAAAATGCAGTTGGCGGTTTTTCAAAATTACATGGTGACAATGAAGATGAAAACAACTTTAGGTTGATTTTTAAAATAAAATTTTAACAAAAACTTTAAGTGCTTCACTGAATTTTGTTTTTCCATATGGCTGTACTCTCAGCGTAAATCGGGAGTCTGTCAGTGTTCTCTCTACGGGAACTGTTTGTTACCCAGTTTTGAGGCCCGTATGTGCCTTCCATCAATTAAAAACGGTATCTTTGTTTTTTAGATAAATCTAGTTAAAAATTCTTCAGCAAATAAAATTTATCCTTTTTAACTATAAAATTTTCCTAGGCTACATTATTTTATAAATGAAAATTTTTAAAAGGAAAATGGCAATGGCCGACTTGCTGTTTGTGGTATGCTTTTTCTTCTAAATAAAATCGATATTTTTACATTTGAGGATCTGTACGAATGTTTGTGGACGAATATTTCAATAAAGAGGATAATTCCAAAATCTTTGTCTGTTTTTTGATAGTATTACATTATATTAGTTGTACGATTAGGACGTGATTCTAAAATTTTTGTCTGGTTCCTTGGAGTTAAATCAAATCGATGCGAATGAACCTAATATCTTCGATGAGCAGCCAATTCCTGATAATATGCAACTTTCAAGTAATAATTTAAAAACTTTAAATATTATGAATCTAATTGATTAAGAGGATATGGAATTGGGATCGGAAATCCAAGCCTATTCCCGTTTTCATAATTCTTTCAGTTACTGTTTAGGTTATGATTAAGTCCAGTCTATAAATTCTCTGAAGATTATGACCATCAATTATTGAGAGATCATCTATATTTGATGTGAAGACTAGGGTTGCTGTTTTCGAACCGGGCCGACGTATGAGTCATTTCTTCGGGCGTATTTTTATCGAACAGGGCTGTTAAAGTTTTTTTCGGGCCAACATTCGATGCTCGATTCGATCTATCGAACCTGGCCGGCAACCCTAAAGAAAACTAACACTAAGCAATGAATACATTTGTATTCAAATTTTAAGAAATATTTTAACTTAAGGCAAGCTCAAATTATGTTTACATGAAAGCGAATTTGATCATGCATACTTCGGTGATTTCATTAAACTTTTCGATCAATCACTTACTTCGGTCGGTCTGGATCATTGGCCAGAAGCTAAAAGGTTTATAACAAAAATTTATTTTTTCTAAATTTACTACACAGAAACATAAATTAAAGGGTACTTATCCTTTATGCGTCCGCAAATTGAGGGCCACCGATTTGATCGGCAATAATTTTTTTGGCTTGATCCAATTCAAATGAAGCGAAGGCCCTCGATCATTCGAAAGCTCTCGAAAAGCGGTATTTTTTCCAATTTGATATATCAAGTCTGATCAATAGTTAAACAGTCAAAACCCTATATGTCAGTAAGTGAATAAAATTCATTTAGATTCGCAAAAAGCTATAGCCGATCAAAGTCGGTGGTACTCAATTTGAAGAAATGATAAGCATCAGCTAAAGTATCTATAATTACCAGGATTTATGAAAAAATTGGTTTGAGGTACGAGCCACTGACTTTAGTGACACCAACTTTTCAAGTAAGAATCAATTTGTGATCTTAAAATGCTAACTTTATAAAGGTCCCAATGCCTCCATATCAGCCCGCAGTAAGATTTCTGTTGAATTTTATAAATGCCTATAAATTATTAAGGTATTCCCTCCACAATTCCGTGAACTTCCGCAGCCGCAGCTCGAACTTTTTGAACTTGATGATGCATTTTGTAATATTTTATGAACTGATAAAACCCTAAGGAAAATTATAAACTTTAGAATTGATTTAAATTAATGAATATAATTTTACAGCTACACACGAAGTTCAACTTGCGCAACTTACTAATCGATGTTGGTTATTCAATTTTAAATGTTTCGTTGGAGAAATGAATATTTTTTGCGTCCCAATATAGAGTTCTAAGTTTAAGATCTTAATCGTTTAGGTGCTGAAAATGAACTAGATATGTATATCCGTGAGGCGAGCGAGATACTTGGGATAAATAAGATATTATCAGAAACTCTAACCGGAATTGATCGGAAAATAACTTCTAAACGTGTACTTGACTATGTAACTAGAAATCTGATTGAATGGAAAAAATCAACCGCAGGAATGGTTTGCAACCTTTATATTAAACAATTACTCTAATGTTTTATAGGAGGAAGGAGATGATTTGCCGCATACATATTTGCCAGCGCCCGATGAAAGTGTTGAGATTGATGCCGATTGGACAAGGCAACAGAATAATTTAGATATCATGGACGACGGAGAAGAAAACTTTGATCATGCTTTTTCAGAAATTTATAATGATTAAGTCTCAGTACCTCTAAACTTTTGTCTTTAGGTACTCGAGAAAATGTGCAAACCAATTTAATTATGGAAATAAAAATCTTTATTAATTATTAATTTATTACTTTATTATCTACTAGTTTAGTAAAGTTTTTAAGCAACTACTTTAATTTTACAAATCATCTACTACATATATAAATAAGGAAAATTTATAAAGTTATCAATTAATAGGAAAGAAAAGCTTTAAAAAGATAAATTGAGTTGCTTTTTTAGTTACATGTAATAATTTAAAATATTTTATCTATTATTTTACGATTGCTATATTGCAGTTTAAAGTCATTGAAAGCAACTAATTAGGATTTAGATTATGCCAAAATCAAAGAAGATGCTTATTACTAAGAATCTTTAATTTAAATAATGAAAATGAAAGATGGCGCACCATTGTTTATATTAACGCCTCCAAAATAATTCTTTTTAAATTCAAATTAGTCTCCTCGTTTATGCCATTATTCCATTGTTAAAATGGCCGGGTGCGCGACCGTAATGTGGGGCATGTGCATTGTACGGTCCATGCATGTTTGCAGGTGCAGTATGGCGATATTGATCTCCATAATCTAAAGATTATATATTATTAGAAGTTAAAACAATGGGATTCAATATAGTAAAGCAGCTGGGCTATAGCTATTTCTCCCCTTTAGCTAGTGTACAATGTTATTCTGCGGCTGGGAGCGACCAGCATTTTCAGTAGAACGGACTGATGTCCCCGCCGCCTAAAGCACAGCCTTAGGAATTAAATAGCTATTTGCTTTACAATATTCTACTATGAACAAAAGAATTATTTCTTATTTCCAGATTTACGTTAATGTATCTTTTAGTGGGGTTATTTTCGGTAAAAATTTTATTAAGTCTGTCCAACCTTGATATCCTTCCGCGTCTTCGGTTGAGTTTTGTGACTCAAATTCAGGACGCTGCGGTGCATATGGTGGAGAAGAGTAAGGATCAGGGGAATATGGAGGAGAATAAAAGTCATCATCGGAATCATAATGCGAAGGAGGAGAGCTGCGTGAATGCATTGAGGGCGAATTGGGGACATCCATATCTTGATGTTGTTGAAAGTCAATCGGATTTTGATAAGAGTTTGGTCGCGACGATTGAGAATGTTGGTAATTGTCCGCTGAAATAATGAGAAATAATATCCGAAAGCATCCCGGATTTGGGATATTATTTTTTATTTGTACTAAGAATCATTTAAAATTACTTGCACAAACAAATAAAAATAATTGAAAGTCAGGCTTTTATTTACTCAAGATGCGCTGACTATATAACCAGTCAATATATTTATGAAACCTACCAGTTTTTCCTTTCATGAAGGAATGTGATGGGTTTTCTCCTTGCGGATAAGCTGGGGAATTGTTCGACATCTTATTGTTTTTGCCAAAATCTTGAGGATAAGCCAATTGATTATTTGGCAATTGATTGTTTACACCAAATTCTTCCTCCATAAGCGGATGTTCACCACGCCCAGAATACTTATATCGAAGTTCAAACTGAGATTTTTGCGGCTGATCAGACTGATCCACATATTTGACACGAAGCTGAATCTAAAAAAATCATAAATTGAAGCAGACATTGAAAATATGGTTCGCATAATTAATTCAAACCCTCCCATAATAACTACCTCAGGATTTGTCTCTACTTTCGATTCCAAAGTAGTCCAGTCGGATTTATCAGCAACTTTGTTAAATTTCATAACATAATCTGCTTTGTATTCACCACAATCCTAAATATTAAAAAATAAAATTCTATTTATTTTTAAATATAAAACAATGTGAAGTTGAAATCCTTCAGCGATCGTCTTACGCAATTTGACTTGTGCTATTAGTACCCCATCAGACTGATGTTCTATTTTTGTGCTGTCAACGCTTAAAATCTCCTCTGAAAATTTTATTATGTAGATAATAAAATTATCTTTGAGATTGAACGTACCATCATCCTCGTCCCTAATCTTTAGCCACTTGTTCCAATTCATCGGGGCGCTTGAGAATGGCTTATCGCACGCATTCCCATTCATATTATTTTTTATTTTGAATTCAAGCGAATATTCACGTTGGTGCAGAGGAAATGGTCCGTACTTCATTTTTTCCTTATCCGCCCAAAGATAAAGAATCCTTGAAGGTTTCTTTTCAGTATGTGCATGATTCGCTGCTTTCTCGAAATTATCATGACTGTCACGTAAATAGTCAGCAATTTTAAATGTATAGACACGTCGTTCTTTTATGCGGAATGATTCTTTGTTGTATGCCTTGAATAAGTTTCTTATGCGAATTAAACTTTTAAAAATCGAACCACGGCTATACGGATGCTACCGTAATTTTGCTCATTTTTTCGTAATGGATCCAATCCATAACCATTTTTGATGGTGATTCGGAAATTTCCGGTTACTTTGTCATAATAAAATTCATATGGCATATTACCAAAAGAATGATCTGAATTATAAAAGTAAATTTAATAATAGTAACAAATTTTAAACATAAAGCCACCATGATCAATATCATATTCAACATGTGCACATCCCTCGTTTGCAACCAATGGCACAGGACTATGATTTTCCTTGTCAGAACCTCGCCAGAAGATTATTCCGTGAATGTGATAAACTAAATATACAAATGACGATTATCTTAAAATAAAGTCCATACTGTAGGTATAAGGTTTGAAATTGTGGTAGGATAAATGAAGAATGTTACGATGATCAACATCCTCAGAATTGGGATCGTGCTTCTGATGCAAATCTTTTTGTGCACTATGATCTAAAATAATTAAATTTGATGATTTCAATGAGTAGACAAAAAATCTACTTTGATCTTTTGCAACATTGAGGTTTTCAATATCCTCAATATAACTGATTCGTTTAGATTCCTCATTTAACGCCTAAAATTAAACGACTAATATCAAAAATAATCAGTCATAAACATACGTATGATATTTCAACCTTGCCTTTAATTTCAGGATTTCTAAATGTGATATTGGTAATACCATTTCCAACATGCAAATCGTAGTGACAATGTTCTGTTGGTATTCCATTTTCGGGTGGATCTTCAGAACAGTCAATCAATGGCGTTACTTAAGGAAAAATAAATATATTTTTGTGAACTGATTATTATTACATTCTGTTCTCGGTAGATGCTCCGCATTTGAGACTAAGCCTTCACCCTTTTCCATGTGTCGCAACATGATGTGGGGATCATCAATTATTTCATTATTTGCGCCCCAGATCACAAGCATTATCTTTGGATTTTCAACAATTTTCCGTTTTTTGTTTGTCTTCCGAACAAAACTGTGGGGTCCATCCAGTTGAGCAGGATTTTCCAACTCACTGCGAGGACGTTTGTTACCAATCATTTGGTGGTCCGCTTCAGCGTGAGTATGCTTGTTAGCAAACATATGTTGGTTTTGATGCGCTAGCGGCGGCATATCAGGGTTCATATAATGATGACGACCATAGGCAATTGAAATAGAATTCAAAACGAATATCAATCCAGTGATGCGAAGGTACCTGCCCATCGGTAACATCGCTAAAAATAAAGTTTTTGAAAATAAAATTCCTTTAATATTAGAATGGAAGGAAATTTTTTTAAAATTCTGAGCTCCCTTTTACTTATTAATTCGACGAATAATAATTAATGGATTAACAGCTTTTGACCAGACTAAGAGTTGAATACGTTATTTTATTTGGCCAACCCAGTCAGTCGGTGTCGTAAATAACCCTTTGTGATTTTTTTTAGATTTCAATCGCAAGTCAATTAACGGACGCAGCCATGTAAAAATACAGACGCACTTTTGTCGGCTATGGCCTTTTTAAGTGAAATAAATTTTTTAACTGTCTATCCTCTCAAGAATGCCTTGATTCTCGCTCATAAAATAGACGGGGCGGCAAATATTTTTGAAATATCCTGTGGAAAATCACATGTTGCAATGTCCGCCTAATTCATTTAACAGTCATGACTGCCGCCGCCGATTGCGACGGCATTAATGCTTTAATAATAAATATTTCATAATAATTAATTGATTGGATTTCGAAGTGTCTTTCATTATAGACGCTCTTTATAAAGTGCATATTGCAAATCATATTATCCGACTATCTCTCCGCGGAAACTTCCTTACGCAACTGCAGTTTTTAGTAGTAGTATGTGAAATCTTATAGAGGTCTATCGAGGATTACATAAGATAGTTAAATGGTAAAAATACAAATAGAGTTTTATATTGGAATAATTACTATCAAAAAATCGGCATAAATGTGGATCCTGGAGTAGGAATAAGGCAAGGATTAAAAATTCATTTTCAAAATTGCACTTCAAAATCAATATATTTATTTAAATTTTTAAAAAATTGAATTGACGTGATTTGATAATCCAGAAATGATCTTAAAACTATTTTTATTTGGCTATGCCTTTTTGAAACTGCGCTTCAGGAAAGAGTAAAGCCGAGTCAATTACACCACTTCCTTCGCATATACCTCCTTGGTTTGAATTATGTGACTGAAATAAGAGTAGTTTATCTATTTGATTACAATGGAATATATACTTTTGTTTTAATAAAATGTCCATCTACATGGTTAAAGAGAACTTTTCCATCATACGTGCCAAGGAATGTTCCAAAGACGCCTAGCTCGTTTGTGACAAGTTCCAATTTAGCAGGATGAAATGGCCTCTTCAAGTAATTCTGCAAATTTCAAATATAATTTTTGGAGCCTATTTAGTGATGTAATATACATATTCAAATAATTTTTATAATTTTTTAACGATTTCCCTGCCTTAACAGCAATTGGGCGAATTTTCTGCTGCAAGATGAACGCACTCCTGTCTTGAACTGACATTGTTTGTAGCATCTCTGCAAGTTTCTCATCGAAAAAATTTCCCACGCCGTCGTCGCGTAGTGCTTTAAGTACGTAGTTTTGAGGACTGTTAATTGCATCAGCGACAAGTGCTTGAGTAAACGAATCATTTCCTTCAAGGCTCCATATTCCGGTGAATGTACTCTATAATTATTAAGTAAGTAAATAATTTGAATTAAACTACTCTAAGTTCTGCAATCTTTTTAGGCCTATCTGCCAAGAACCGTTCAAGCATGCCTGGCTTTGCAAGTAACTGCTGAACTTTTTTTGTTCCACTCAGCTGGCTTCGAATGTTCGGGGAAATTATGGCAGTTGAGCGTTCCATGTTCAATTGACAATTCCATTCTTTTTCCTTTAAATTATTAAATAAATTTACTATCTTGATTATACAATTAATTCTAAATTATTACACTAGTATAATGCTCGGGTAAGTAGCCGTATACCATGTAGACCACAGCAACTCGTTTATTCTCTCCGACCATTAAAGAGTAATCAGACTCATTAAGATGCATTCTATAAATTTTAATGAGATTCACTTGATTTTAATTATTCACCTTTCGGCACATTCTTCAAGTGTCATTTTCGATATATTTAAAATGGATTCGGCATTCCTTGCTATTTTTTCTAATTCGAATTGCACGAATTGCAATTGTTCATGATGCTGGATCGGGTATAAATTCTAAAAATTTAATTGAATACTTTTAAATATTTAAATGTAAGAAAGATAATACCGAATCAAACACTAGTACAACAATTGCTTTAGCATCCCCAAATACTTTCCATGCTTGGAAAAGAGCTTCAGCGATTTTTTTCGCTTTTGGAAGTGCCGCTTCGCTCATTGAGTTTGGAGTACACCCATGTAAATTCTCAACCTTCTCGATCATTTTCTTATGTAATTTTGCCACTTTGGGAGCAAATCCTACTCCGCCGGGTCCAAAGTTTACTTCGATCTAGGAATTTCATTCAAATTAGGTAAGCTATTTAAGTATAATTTGGTATAAAAAACGGAGATAGTATAAATACCTGCTTCAACTCAATCTTCTGACCATCCTCACAATGCGTCATATAGTCAGCTCGCTGAACTTGAAGCACAAATTTCTGGCGTATACCTTCAGCATGAACCAGCTTCATCATCTCTACCTGTCGTCCAACCCATTTGTCAGCTTTAACAACTTCACGATATGCCTCAATTAAAAAGTCATAATCCAATGATATACGATAATAAAGCTCGTTTAGAGTAGACTGAACAGATGTGGCCTTTTGAAAGAGTTCCATGGGAAATGGTGATGGAAGCAAAGTCATTGGTGGTACTACAGAAATGTCTGTAAACTTTTTTTGCTCGGACCATAGCCCAACGAAGCCTAGAAGAAAAACATTACGAAAAATTTATATATGCCTTGTTTCTGTTAAGTCAAATTTTTTTAAAATCGACATACCTATAGATTGGGCATAATTAATCGAATATCTGTAAAAAGATACCGTTTTATAAAGATAGAAAGATTTTTCTTCTAGAAATTTAGAAATTATAGAAACATTCTTGCTTAGTAAGGTTGGCGGATATTTGGAAATCTTCGGATATCCGGCTCCGGATCCGGATCCGCCAATTGTTATCTTTATAAAAATAAAATTTACTCAGTCAATTCTTTGAGCATATCCTCGTTCTCAATTACTTCAACAATGTAATTATTAGCGATACTTTTGATGCAATGATTATTTACATGTTTGTTGATAACATGATTGTTATTACTGTAATTCTTGCCATTTTGCAATTCAGATATTATTAAGTTTTCCATTGTTTATTAAAAAATATGCTGAATAAATTAATAAGTAACAACGATCATTGGCAATTTTAAAAAAGAGTACAATTATTGGACAATTAAATGGTCGCAAGCGCTAGTCCGTCGATCATCTACACAATACTCATGCAACAGCACAATCTTTATTTTATGGCCGCTTATTTACGCAAACTAAAGTAGAAGTATAGATAAATATTTTCGTAGTGTTTACTACTACATATTATCAACTTCTTATCATTTTTATTATAATGCACAAATAAAATAATGGCCCATTTAGCGTTGTAGGGAAACTACTACTATAAAATATGATATTTATTATTTTTTCACTGATTCATTTTTTCAGCGACAAGGAAGGGAAATCCCTGACATTTTTTATTGTTTGAACAAATTGAAGTACATAAACATATTTATTTGTCTACCTATTATTTGATAAATCCATAAAAGTGTTTGGGTTTAAAAATTTATCATTAATTGAAAAATAGAAAAAATTGGAAAGTTTGTTCATTGAAATAGTCAATGAACTATGTATTTTCTAACATATCAAGGTTCAGAAGCCCCATTCAATCCATATTTCTTCAAGTCAACAAAAATTCTGAAGAGTATTTTGTTTAAATCATTTGGAATTTCGTTCTCACGCTGCAAATTAAGTTGATCCTCAACTTGAGACTTATTATCTTCCGTCAGCTTGCCAATTGCTTTATTTATGTTGAACCACTTTTCTAATCGTTCCCAATAAATAAGGAGTTTAGCCATATTTACTTCAACCTCAAAAACAATTTATTTATCAAGATTAAATGATAGTATTTGTGATAAATTACTTGTTTTTCTATCATCTTGATAAAGTTTCTTGATTCAACCGCCTCCTTTCTTTCCGACTCTTTCAGATTAAACCATTCATTTGGCCATTCAGGATTATCAATAAATTCAAAATTAATAGTTAATCGTGTTAAATACTCAGGAATTAATTTTTCCCGAAAATACCATACTGTGGCAATCTCGAATTTTGTCCATTTTATTTTGATCTGTCTGGATTCTGTATCATATTGCCCTCTAACCATCCAAAAATTGTGAATTTTTCGTATAAATTTAAAAAATTCAAAGAAAATTTTATTAGACGAAAGAAGTAAATTGATCTTCATATAATTCTGAGCGATTATGACTAACTGAAATCATAATTAAGTTCGGCTAGAATCCAAAAATTAATCTAAACCTGTTCATTACTTGTAAACTCTTTAAATTCTATTTCATTACATATCAAACGATCAATTGTATTAATTAGTTCAGCTAATACTTTTATCGCCTTCTCCTGAGCAAAATTAAAAATGCCAGATGTCATCACATTCTTTATTATAAGATTTACCCCGGCTAGATTAACATCTTTAAGGGGCAATTTTTGTAGCAGTATATCATCCAAATTAGTTACGATTGAATTAAAAATAAAATTTTGAAACTCGTTTGGCAGATCATGCATTGATTGATATTTCTTTATTATTTTTAATATTTCATATTTTTTCCTTAGAAAAACATCAGTCACTATTCCATATTTTTTGCATAAATCAAAAAATTCCTTCAAAATATCCTCCAAAATAGATTCCAGGATTTGAGAATCCCTTTCGAAACTATCAGAAAAGAGGTAAAATTCGCCAACTGATCTTTTACTTATAATAGCTAGATCAATTTCCTGTACAAAACTGTTTATCTCGAAACGGATTTTGATCAATTCTTTTATTGTTGCTTTGATTGATTCTTGATAATCTAAGGAATTTAGAGATTTTTCAAATGATTTTAATTTTTCATAATCATCGCTACTCAATAAAAAATCTTTTAGATAATATAGGAGATAAATATTTGGATAGTTTTGTTGGATTTTATTTTTTAAGATTTCCAACTTTTTAAGCAAGTTCGAAATATCAAGCGAATATTCATCTATAAAATTGTTAAAAACTAAAGAACAGTTAGCATCTGAGTAACGCTTTTCTCTTTCAATACGTTTCATTCTTGATTCAATTAACTCGATTTTTCTTAAGATATCATCGTAAACTTGATTTTCCACAGGGACAGCCGAAGTTTCTGCTTTATCTTTAGAAACAATTTTTTCATAATTTATAGGTGCGGAAATAAGTTTTGAAGTTTTAATGATAAGAAGGAAAGATAAAATTTTGAGGAATATTAAAGACAATAAAAGAATAACAGATATGGAATTAAACATTTAAAAGGTAGCCAAGCAGAAGAAAATTTTATTGTTTTAATTCACATAAAAATTTATAAAAGGTTAAATGTTTTGGTTGTTGTGAAATTATAGAGTTGCACTTTCCTTATCTCTATTATAATTTAATTGACAATGATTTGTTAATAAAATATGAAATTAAAGATAGGTAAAATATTAAACGAAAATGTTTTTAAAAAATAAGGACCACACGGATTTAAATATCTGTTATGATTAAATTGATAGTAAATGGGTAAATTGACGGTAAATTGTCAGTCGAAGTTTTAGAAGGCACCATATTGAAATCGGAGCAGTTCAGTTCCGGCTCATTTCAGTTCCGACACAATAATTCATGAAAGAATGGGCACTTTATGTTCTTGATATCATTAATCTTAAGTTATAGATGCCAGGACTAAACAGAGGTGTAACGATTTGAAATAGATACTCGATACAAATTAGCTATTCCATAAACATCAAGACGGTTTTTGGTATAGTTTGACATATAGCATCTTTTCCATGTAAAATAAATACTTCAATATAAGTGCCAAGAGTCTTTGATATATACTTTAGTTTGTGTGCCTTAGCTACAAGTTGCATTACAGGTACATATCTCTTAATTGCATTGACACCATATTTTGTTTGCAATATTGTAAAAAGTAGTTTGGAATAGTGTACAGAATTATTATATATTATTTCACGCGATTTTGCCGACAACCCATCTACTGCTAAATTTAAAATAAGATTAAAATTGAAAGCTAAAATTGAACTAAAATAAGCTCTATTTTAGGTTTGGACTAATGGGATATTAAATGAAAATAATAGAAAATGGAATCCATAGGGATTTGAAATCAAACATTATTTGAAATAATGAAAGAAAAGCGTGAGTATTAAAGTCATACTTGAACTTGAGATAAGAATAGCAAGCAATAAGAGAAATTCTTCTGGGGCAAGATCTAAATCTGCAAAAGCTTGAACAGATTGAAAGACCAACTGTTGACGAAACTTTTGAATTCTGTAAAAAATAAGTTTGTTATTTTCAAACTAGCAAGGAAAAATTCATCATATAATTTTTAATCTTTGAAAAATGCGTTTAGCTAAGCCGCGTATCGCCCAAATCCTCTCTCAGATGCTTTGGGACCGAGATAGAAAATCTTAAAGCATGGGGTCAAGGTAAATTACTGGCGTCAAAAATCTAACCATACAAGGATTTGTTTGGTCCGATCTCTATTATAAAATGTCTTATAATTAGAATAACATACTTCTCATCATTAATTAAAGATTTAGTCGTTAACATCGTTCCTAACGTCAACCCCTCAGAAGTTGTCCATTGAGCAGCATTCATGCAGCTAGCGTAAAAACTATTGAAGAACATAAAGATTGGCTCAATTAAATCTTTTATTATTAATGCCTGAAATTTTATTTACTGGTATCATAATTGACAGAATTAAAAACTTGGTCGTCAATATCGAGTTTATTGAAACTTAGCACCACTTTAGCAAATTCCATAGCCAGAAAATGGTCTTTGGTAATAATTTTTATATGTTTTGGAGAAGAGAACCCAAACACTTCTACTTCAGCACGAAACCTTTCCGAATTCCAAAACGATGGCATATTATCCTGAAGTGATACATAAGTATGTGGTTAAATCATAGTATAATTAATTGTGAAAATTTGCTTAAATATTAATAAGATACCGAAAATTCGTCGGCTTTTGCTAAAATATGATTGGGATCTTCTAGATAGTTTTGAATATTTGACGATGAATTTAAACTAGCAAAGTTAAATGGAGTGTTAGATGCCCATATTCTATAATGGCATTTTCCGAGAAAGTGAAGTGTATTCATTAATCCACTATCAGAAGCACCTTCAGCATTTAAATTGCTCTAAAGTTTCGAAAATAAAGTATAAATTAATCGAAAGTATTTAAAAATACTGGGCGCAGTGGACTTTATGCGCCTCTGCGGATTTTATAACTAAGTTCAACTTCCTAACCTGAATCGCAACATTCGTACATTTATTGTGAAGATCGGGTTCGGGGATTGTATCATCAGAGCTAGGCTGAATAATTTTAAGTTCAATTTAATTTTAGATCGTATACCGATGATTGACAGACGCCATGCATGCTCAACAACTTAGTACGACGATTTTCTAGCGTTTCAATAAATAAATCGAGCGATTGGGTGCTTTCAGCATTAATTAGCAAAGGATCCATGCCAACTAACAGGCACCTATCAAGCCGGCATCCTCTGCAGCGATTAGCTTAAAACATATCTAGGATATTATATTAAACAATGTAAATCAACCTTTCGTTATATCACATTGTTTATCTTTCCAACAATGGAAAATTTTCTGTTTTACGACTGATCTACGGAAGAACTGCTTACATCCTTAACATAAATTTAATACTTAAATTTTTAACAAAAAAAACCTTCACAACTCTGTACGCCATAATAATGATAAGAGCACGCAGTATCACAAACCATACATTTTTTAGTGGGTTTAATTGAGCTAGTAGTTGGACCCTGTTGGTGTTCGGATTGCGCAGAGTAATTATTTTCTTTCATTGAATCTGTATTGGAAAATTTAAATTTATTTATATTGGATGGGCCTAAACGTGTAAAATAAACGTAAAAAATATTTATTGAATGAATAATTTATGTATTTTAGAGTTTGGGAAAAATTTTGTTTTATTTCACCAAGAATGTAAAATTTATTATAAAATTTCCAGGTTTATTAGCTAACAAATTAAGCTAAACAAATAAATTTAAAAATTTTAAATGCATACCTTTGCCATAAAAGGCAGCATTTAAAGCCAACGGAATCAATAATTCGTTTGAGGCTATGTTTAAGGAAAAAAGGTGTTTGAGGTAAGGCTACATATGTTTGAGGGAGACGGCTTAGCATAAAAATTAATACATTCGATAATAGCATTCGGTATATAATAATATTTAATACTTATACATAAGTATATGTACAAGGTATATGCACAAACTTCAATTTTAATTATTAGGTGTAAGAATAATTTCCCAAGGTTATTTGAGGATATGAAACAATACAATTTTTTGGCGTGAAAGTAGGCAGATAGACTGCGATTAGTAATTTAAAACAATTACATAATTATTTAAGGATTATATTTTAGATTGATATCTACATAAGCATTAAAATATTAATATCTATTAAATCCTTGATTAAGCTCCCAGTCAGTAACTTGTTTTGAAAATTCATTAATTTCAACATTAGCAGCGTTTACGTAATGTAGAATCAACTTCTCTCCTTAATTTAAATCAAATTGTAATCTGATAATTTTTGAATTACCAAATGTTTTATTCAGCATTTTCGATTCTTTTAGAAGTTGTGTAGCTTTTTGTAAGGAATTAGGAAATTCAGGTAATTCCTTATCATTGTAAACATTGCCAGATGCAGGAGGGGGAAGTTCAAGCTCTAAAATTTAAAGTAACTGAAATTAATTTCCATGCAAACGCCTAACTCTCACTTTCTTCTATACCGCTAATTCCTGCAGCTATGATTGCAGAAAAAGCTAAATAAGGATTCAAATCGGCGCCACCAATACGCAGCTCAACATTAATTCCCTCGGATTTCGAATTACAAAGTCGAAAGGCGCTTGTTCGGTTGTCAATAGCCCAACAACATTTTGTTGGTGCAAAACTAAAGAATTAAATCTAGTAAAATATATTCAACGATAAATTATTTTCATCAGAATACGTGAATTATTACGTAAGCGGTTGAAGTCTTTTGTAGGAATTGATGTAGGGAGCAAAAAAATAAGTCGATTCAGGCACGTATTTCAATAATCCAGCAATCCAATTACGGGCTAATGTTGACATTCCATATTCATCATTTTGATCATGAAATGCATTTTTTCCTGTTTCAGCATCTTGAAGTGACACTAGGAATTTTATTTAGCAAATAAAATTAGGATTTAATGATCTCTCACTATGAATATGACAAGCATTACCAAGCGCAGTTGAACTTAATTTAGCCATAAAGGATGCAATCATTCCAGCCTGTTCTGCCATATCGCGAATTCCATGTTTTGCAATAATATGACGATCTGCCATTGTTAGAGGATCTGCTGGCACAAAATTAAGTTCATGCTGACTAGGTAAAAATTCGGGATGTGTTGCCTCCATCAAAATACCTAATTCAAAATATTAGAATATTTTGTGTGATCCTACCGGCTTCTTCTAATTTATTACGCACCGAACGCATAAAAGTTTCAATCCCACTACTTGCACTAATATTCATCCATTGGTGATGCGGCTGCGCGGTTTTCAAATTTTTGAAATTCCTTTGGCTGGCACTCTCATATGTTTCATTGAAAAGATTAAACTCTAGTTCAGAAGCAAAAAGACCTTTAAGCTTGAGTTTAGCCAGACGTTCAATTTGCTGCATAAGTATTACACGAGGAGAACAGAACAACGGCTCAGAAGTGAAATTTAAATTTTAATTTAAAATTTAATTAAAATTTAATTAAAATTAAATTAAAATTTCTTTAAATTTAGAGTTAATAGAAGCTTTGAAATTTATTTGCCTACATGAGGATTGGAAATTGCCAATACAGCGCCTTCTGACCATGGGAGCAAATGAAGGGATTTCAAATCTGTACAGAGATGGCAGTCACTATAACCTGTGTCTACACTTGAGATCTCATAACCTCCGCCAGCGATGCCTGAAAACAAGATAAAGATTGAGTAAATTATTATTCACTTGACTCTGTAATTTTAATCTGTTATTGTTAGAGCTAAAGCCTAATTTTAATTCTTGATAATATTGTTTACCTTCTATGGTTACCGCATATACAAATGTGCTAATGCTAATCTTCTTTTGATTCAATCCTAAAAAATGCCGGCCAGTTAACCTCTTGCCCATCAGTCGGCCTTGCATGTCGATGCATGCTGAATGAGAGGATTAATCAATTTAATTACAGTCAAATCCCGATAGATCCATAATAATTTATCTCAACAAAATCATAAAGCATCTTTAAAAACATACCCACAACTACCGTGTCTATTTTTCCATTTTTAATCAAATCATTTAGTTCATCATAAGTGATGGTCATTTGAAATTTTATGATCTGAAGCTTTATTATACACTAAACGTTTTTAAAAAATAAAAAATGATTTTAAAAATAGGTAAATGACCAGAGACGTAAAATAATAAATATGAAAATAATTTTACAAATTTAAGGAGGCAACTAATATTATTCGCTAGACAACATTGAGAAGGAACCCTTATCAATCAAAATTTATAATACACGAAAAACATTCGTAGACACGAAAAACATTCGCGGCAAATTTGGCGTCCCTTGTTTAATAATTGTTTACAAAATTATAAAAATTGATAGTTCTTTTTTTGAATTAAAATTAAAATAATTCAAAAAATATTTAAGGGAAGAAAAATAACTTTAATATGAAATTTTAAAATTTATAGTTTAAAATGATAAGAATAGACTACATTTAACACATGTTGCGTAAAGTTCTGACTAGTTTATTATACTTTATCAATACATTGAACATCATGTTTATTTCTGAACATAATCAAGTATAACCCATAAATACAATGATCGAATTTTTAAACGCAGTAAATATAGCCTTCTGATCATCAGGAAGTGTATTTATCATTTCATCAGCTTTCTTACATTTAAGCGACAATTTTTCTTTTCGTCGGAATATTTGTTTGAAACATTCCTTCAATTCCTATTTTAGAAAAAATCTTAGATTTGAGAATAAGCCTGCTTAATAAAGGTCTACCTTAGGTATCTTGTTAAATTCCGGAGGATCAGGAATCATATCAATCACTTTATCAGGCAATCCATCAATTAATGCATTTATTTGTTCTTGCTTTTGTGATGGCAAAAGTGCAGAATCTGACTTTATCATTTTTATCTTGCTTAAAGTTTCGGCAGGCAATGCGTTCCACCCCTCCAATTGATTTGAGAGTTGCTTGATTTTAAAGATAATTTTTTAAAGGGAATAAATTCTTACCTCATTTTCAGATGGCATTATATCTCTTGTCCTGTTTAAGCTTAGTTAATATAAAATTTTGAAATGATAAAGGAGTATGAATATCGCCAATAATTTCGTTTAGGTTAGTAAATACCATGAAGGTCTTCATTTAATAAAACGGAAAGTTTTGCGTCAAATACAAAGTACAAGATTAAAGCGGATTAATGCTTTAGGATAATGCCATTGTTTATTTAAATAAACATCAGATATAAGTTTACGGTCAAAAAAGTGAATAGACTGAGAAAAAATCATGTTTATTATGGTTGGGATTAGGCGGGTAATTGATAAATATGGAAAGAATTTAAATAAAGATGGGAAAATTCTGGCTGGCACATATTTGAATGAATATAAAGAAAGGCAAAATATAGTACTTTAATGATGATGTCAGTTATAAATTCTTCCAATTACTATTAGTTACATTAATTAATAAAAATTACTCCCAATGATAAGATCAATATTAACGTTTACTAAAAATAACATTGCTGGTTGATTGATAATTTTAATTATCTAACGCTAGTATAAATTCAAGAAAACTTTCAGAAAAAATAAAAATAATTAAATTGAATTTTATACTATGACCAAATTTAATGGAAGCGAAATTTTGCATCAAAAAGTCGCGCATCTATTGCGACCTGAAGAACTTACATCCATTAATTTAATGCGGTGGTTAAAAAGCTATAATTGGGTGATTATTTTGTTAAGTTGGATTTTTTGATAAAACGGATTTGTGAATTTTATAGGATGTTGATCTTTGCACTGAAGTTATAGAAGAATATGTAAAAAATCGTAACTGTTTAGGCTTGAATGGTATTTAGCCTTAAATAAAACCAGAAAGTTTTTTTTAAATAGATGATGATTTTTACAATGATTTTTATGATCACCAGGAAATCAAGCATTATTGTGATGTATTCCAACAGTCGAGGTTAATAACTGAACCTGATTATTAGCATAAGCGATAAAATACACAAGGATATTCCGATTGGTCATATTTCCTAAAACAATGGATATAAAGCACGCTTGGTCCCCTACTGGGTATAAAATATTATAATCTGTATTATCTAATTAGATTGCAATATGAATGGATTAACTCATTGGACAATGGGATTGTTTTTGTAGAAGGATGCCCTAAATCTGCATCAACAACAGCACAACAAATTCGAACGGGACAGTTTCTCTTCGCATTTTTCGCATGGTCAGAGTATTTGCTTCGATTAATACTGAAACGCGAGCGTGAGACTGGTCAGCAATCATATGCTGTTTGTATTTTTGATATGACTGGAGCAGGGATCTGGCAATATGCAAATCCCATGGGGCCAATAAACAGACTTTTTGAGGCAGGATTATTATCAAATCACAGCTGTTAATGATTTTATTTTTTATAGTCTAGAGTGAAACTTGCCGTATCATACTATGAGGAACTGCTGTCAACTGTTGTTATAATTAACCCACCTCGTATGCTAGGGCTTCTATTTAGTGTTTGCTGGGGTTTTTATTATTTCGAAATTTAAATATTTTACAGATAATTTCCTTTTTGCTTCCCAAAAGGATAATCGGAAGATTCCATTTTGTTAAGAATGCAGAAGAAGCATCGAAATATATTTCAATTGATGCCATACCAGAAGGACTTGGTGGTAAAATGGTGAGCGCTCGAAGATAATTTGTCTGAAATCTAATAATAAAATTAAGCATTTCGATGAATCATTCATGCCAAACGGATGTATTAAACCTAAGAGACCTAATATTACTGAATTTTTGGTTACAATAACTTTAAATTTTATTAATAATTTAACATTTATAAGCAGAAGAATGGTCAGGTTTGGGAAAAGCATAATATCAACAGCATTCCATATGAACATGTCCTTGTACACTCGAGGCAATCATTTATTCGCGAGTTGGATACAAAAGGGAAAGGCGTACTACTTTACGAATTCCATGCAACTAGAGCTTTTAAAGTTAAACTTACAAACGGTAGAATTTATTTGAATGTACCCAGTTCAGTCAATCAATTTTAAAACTTAGAAAAAGGTGATTATCTACTACCATATCTACATATGAACACTACGCTGTTATCGGAAGAAGGTGAAATACCTATTCAAGTATCTGATGGAAGAATTCATTTTAAGATACGAAATGAAAGTAATTTATTCGGAATGAAGCTAAAATTTGCTTTTAAGTTTGTATATTAAAAGTTTGGTTTATAATAAATTTTGCCAGTATAACTAGCTCCTATGGCATTTCTTCAAAGAGATATTCTTTCCATTGTAATCCAAAGTTAATGCGTTGGAAAAGGGATTCGATAGGATTAAATCGACTTTAGCAATTATTTTTTTAACAAAATTAGGAGTTGACGTTTTGGGATTATTTATTGATAAATATCACCCCTTAAAAAGTACGTTAAAAGTGCAAAATAAGTACATCTACAGACGCCCTCGGTGAGTTTATTATGTTTTGTATAGGCAAAAGCTGAGCAGCTTAATGTAAAATAGAGAGAAAAATGTTGAGGAAATATAATAAAAAAACAGGCGGCAGCTCGGAAAAGATAAAAACGCAGCATCGGCTAATCAAAGTGCCACATCACGCTTTTCGCGCAGCGCTACTCTCACTACCCCTTTTTGCTTTTATTTTTTGCCGCTTGATCAATTATTGCCAATATTTCTCTAATAGCTTTATTATTTTTTATTAAATCCGGGAGATTGTCTGTTAATAATTTTCTATTTAGACTAACCTTCTGATAAAATCTTTATGAGATTAACTTTTATAATATTGTTTAAAATATTTGTGTTAATTTATGCTGATTCCTTAAAGCAATTATTTGACCAGCCTAGAGAAGTAACAATTATTTCAACTAAAAATGCTGAAATACGAGTAATTTCAAATAAACAGAATTTTTTTGTTATGGGAGGCATACTAGGACGCATTGATGATCTTCTTCTGGATATCAAGCGTAAGACTGGTTTCTGGTTTATTTTCAAAAACTATGTGAGAGAATTCTTCGGCGGAACTAATTTGAAGAAAATTTTGGATGCAATGATGATGGATTTGCTTAAATTAAAGGAAAATTTGAGAAAAAGTCCGCCACACTATAAAAATATCCGTATTGAGCTCGGTCAACTCGATGAATTTGGATTGAACAGATTGGGTAAAAATGGTGAGGGCATCAAATCACGGACATTGGATAATTTTAGAGCAATTATTAACCCGTTGGTAAGTGATATAAAAATGCAACTTATAATTGGCCAGTCAATCACTATAAAAGAATTTGAAGGAATTAATAAAAAGCTTGAAGATGCAATTTCAGATCTTAAAGATAAATCTAAGAAAATAATAAATGAAAAAAATATTAAAGGAATATTGGGTTTAATTGGCAGAAACATCACTGAAGCTCGGTTAAATTTGTCGTCGAGATATAAAGAGATTAAATCTAAAAGAATGGAGGCCTTGCCTCTGCGTTTCAGGGTATACTTTTAAAATATGGACAAATAAAATAGTTTTTTGGTTTAAGCGAGGCTATTTGGACCAAATACTAAAAAGCAACAATATCGATGAAGTTCAATTGATAAAACTGAGTAATGATGAAATGAATATATGGCGTGCAAGAGCTAAAGAAGAAAAAGGAAGATATTCCGATCGAATAAAAATTTTATTAAAATTTTTCAAGCAAATAAATGATGCTATTTCGCTAATCGAAGCGGGAATCGAGACTGCAATGAAATCACCAGTTAATAATTTCTAATATAAATTATTTTCGCCAAATTTTAGGGATCATCAAACAAAGGATTAGGATATGTGCTTAAAGATTATGTTAGATTTTAATGAAAATAAATTTAAAAAATTTTAAAAACTATTCGTAGAGTTGGCGGTTTCGAATCAGGCTGACGTTCGATCATCTTTTTCATCCTCATTTTTATCGAACCTTGCCAATCGAATCGTTTTCGAGGTCAATCGAGTCTTTCCCCTATCTTTCGAACCGAACCGAGCTGCCAACCCTAATTATTATTTAATTATAAAGTCAAATCTAAACTTACAGAATCTAACAAACAGTGTAAAACAATTTGAACAAAACTATTTATACATGAAATTTGCACAAGTTCTTTTGAAGTTTCATTATATCCTTAATAAACTCGTATCCGCAAAAATACTCGAGGATGATGACTTTCCAGATGCAGGCGAGATGTTGTATGCATGGGTATTAAGAAGTGACGTGATCGTTCCTTATATTGAACGCATAAATGGGAATTCAGAATTGAAAATTTTTGAAGATAATCAAGGACAGAATATTCAACGTTTGCTATCACAAACACTCCACGTATTTTGGGAATTAAACAAACGGTATAAAATTCAGGAAAAGGTAGCCAATATGTTAGGCACGTTTACGCACGATGTTGTATTGTTAAAGACAATGGAACTTCCACATGTAAGCAAAATTTTTCTTTTAGCCTTGGTAGTTATAAATTGTGTTGTTTATGTTCCGCTCCTGAGTCTTTATTATGGTCTTTATAAGGGGTATTTATTAGGGTAGGGTTTATCGGTTTTTATTAGGGTCTTTATTCTGTTAAACAACCTAAAATTTTCATGGAAACCATAACTAGTTTTGATAAAAATTCAAAAAATTCTCCAAAAATTTCACACAGAATTTAGCAAAATTCTTTAAGGTCGATCAGATGCCTACTGGAAATGGTGCTATTTTCTATCAAATGTATATTTTGAAAACAACGGACAATTGAATTGTTTAAAGGGCTGTGAAAGAAAAACGGATATTTTATTAGAATATGATAGATTTATTTGGATTCTTCACCTATATACCTGATTAAACTTCAAAAATACAACCATTCTACACCCACTATTTCATTTTCTCGGGGATGAAATATTCTGACTCTGATACCTTATATGACAGAAATTTATAAATATACCTAGTAATCATATAGTAAATTATATAAATATTTAATTTTTAAATTATAAAATTTTTTTGTAAAATTTCTAATGCGTTTTTAACAAATAAAATTTTTGCATAATTTTAGAAATAAAAGCATTTTTATAGGTAAATCCCGAGACTATGAGTTTTCATTTGGATGTAGTAGAAGCATTCTAAATCAGCATATAATATGCCTTTATTTAAATCTTAACTTAAAGTTAATGCACATGAAATCAAAAATTCATTTTGCTGTTTTTATGTGAATATCCATTTTGAGTTTTTTTCCTTTATCGACACAAATAAATAAATGTGAAACAATAAAATAAAGACTCCTGGATCCACAGGGATCACTTATGGAGTTGATAAAAATTGAATCAAATTGAATAAATCAAATTGAATAATCAAAATAAATAAATTCAAATTGAATCTATTCAAAATAGATTCAAAAAGCACAGCATTACATAACAAGATTTACTTGAAACAAAATTTAAAACTTTATCCTCTTCTTTATGGATTCTATTTTTTCAAAAGACTTTTGTTCAATCTCTTTAATTGGATTAAGTTTCCCCAAACTTAGATCATCAGTCTCATCCGGACGGAAAGACTGATCACAAATAGGAAGCTTCATCTGTAAATTTTCTTTATTTTCAAGGCCAAAGAGATCATCAAGATTTCTATGAACATCATTTTCAGGATCATTATCCTTAGCAACAGAAAATGCTTGTTTTAATAAAGATGTATTTTCATTAGTATCTTCCTTTATAAACTGATCAGTAGAAAATTGAGTATAATTCTTTGACTCTATTCGGCATTTGTTGGTTAAAAAGTCTGAAATTCCAGTTGCAGAAAGTCGATGCTTTGGTTCGAGTTGCAATAAATTCTGAAAAATTTACAATCGACAATACGTGTATTAAACTTTGCTAACCGAAACAAGTTGAAAAATTTTCGGGTAATCTGATTTAATCTCGATTATGTCCATAATCTCATCTTTCATATCCTCCATAGATGGATGTTCCTGATTAATTTCTTGTTGACTAGTAGATATAATATACTTCTTGTCCGTTAGTATATTTTTCCATTTATAGATTGTATTTATATTAAGCAGCTTATCATTTATCTTAAATAAAATTATAATTACGATAAATTATATTAAGTAAATGAACCGTTTTTATAAGATTTTCTTTGTCCTCAATTAGTGTTGAATATTTTATATAAAGCAAAAGTTCATAGCATATCATGCCAAACATCCAAACGTCAGATTTGGTTGATGCTGATGCCTACATGATTTTAAATAAATTATCGGAAAAATGATTTCTAAGAATACGTTTCGAGTTTTTGAATTGGATTGACTTGGCAGCAATTTGGCTTGTTCAATCCGGAAGTTTGTATCAAGCTCCGGCGGCAAATATCGACGAGTACCTATCATCTTTTCAACAATATTCGTTTTATTGTTTGATTGACTTTTTGCAAGATTAGTTTTACCATCAAAATTAGCCGGAAGAGAAAATGAGCGCGCGAACTTTGTTAAATTACTTATATTTGATTTAGCGCTACTTTTATTGTTCCACATTGTTGGATTTAGAAGCATGCTCCCGCCAAAGTCAATAGCTTTCAAATGTTTTTCTTCTTGAACATAGCTAGTTTCACGAGAAACATCAACAGCCTTCAAACGCTGCTCTTTTTGATTCTTGTTTGTATCAACAGAAACATATACCATATTTTGTGGTTTGAAGTCCATATGAATAGCAACTGAAATTACAAACAATAATTAAAGCATCTCTGGAACTAAAAAGGAAGTTTTCCTATTCTTCCCATTAAAGAGAGTTACGCCTAACACTTATTTTATTTCTTCACTGTTGTAATATTTCCTCAGAGAGAGAGAAAGGTATCCCGGACTTAAGTCTAATTAAATATCACAGATGGAAAGGCCCTTGCCAGCACGCTCCAATCGACGTGATGTGTTTCTCTATTATAGACCCACATAAGATGTAACAACCTTCATGGATTTGAATTAAAACTTTTGCTGGCTCACTCAAAACATTCATAAGCATTTTCTCATCTTTGTCATGATTTTCTGCTGTTGATAATATTTTTTCCAGAAATGTTTCATTTCCTAGTTCCAGGATAATGATATAATCAAACATTTGTTCTTTATCTTTATCACCATGTATTTTTATAATCGACCCTCTAAAATTAAAAATTAATCTATGTAATATATTCAATTATCATACCCATCATACATATTGATGATATGATCAAGCGGTTTATTTTCGTTCGAAAACCTTTCTTGAAACAATTTAAGCACTTTAATTTCATTCATCGAGTCTTCAACAATTGTCTTTAGCGATTTTGATTTATTCTCTTTTGCTACCCTAATATTTTCTTCAAGCATTTCTTTGCGTTTTTCATCCAATTTCGTTAACTCATTCTTATCTTTGTTGTTCAATCTGAATTTAATTTATAGTACAACTCCTAAAAGTCTTCAACTCCTAAGAGTCTAATGCGTTGTCCTAAGAGTTCATAATTATAAATAATAAAAGTTAGAATAAAGTAGACTAACTCTCTAAGCTTTTTCTCGTATCCACTCAGTAATGCGTTGTTCTGAGTTTGTTGTGTTCCAGTACCAATCAACTTAACCGCTACACATTTTTCATTCTTAGATTTAGTGTCATAATAGCAGCCGTGATAAACCTGAATATTAATTATCTTTGTAATTACCTAATTGAAAAAATTACCTGAGCTTGTACGCCTTCACTAATAAGCTCTTGAAGCGATACTTTTACTTTTCTTATTCTATTTCCTAAGGCAGAATAAAAACTGATTTTGGTCATTCCCCTCATATTATACTTCTTACAGCTGCATTTCGTACTTTTAGGAGAAAATGGCAGTATATCCTCAAATTTACATAAACTTTTAAGCAATGAAGGAGATGAAGATGACGGTGATGGAGTGGTTGATGTACGTCCAAAGGTTGATGAACGTCCAAGGGTAATTAGGCGACTGTAATTAAGTTATAAAATTAGATAGACTTGTAAATTTTAAGCAGCGGAGCTAAAAAGGAAGAATAGTTCCTTGTATTTTCAGTTGTGTTTGCCAATGTTATCATTGAGGAAAATTTTGAACTTGCTAAAAAGAATTCTGAGGAGGTGTCGAAGGATTTGGGGCCGAGAAATCTCAAAATCTCCTGATTCACCAGAATTCTCCATATATATCCTTTTTATCCCTCAAAATCCTCCACTTTTATTGTTATTTAAGCACGGACAATCTTTAATACTCACTACTTGGGTTGGATCTTGGTACGGATCAGGATACATCTGCGGATTTCATAGTCTACTACTACTTGGAGCACCTATAGGTATCCAATTTTTAAATTTTCTACGATTTTCAAAAACATAATTTGGATATATTTGGATATAATAATTTGGATATTTATGTATCCGGAGAATAAATTATGGTTAGAAAAAAATCAAAATCGGTAAAACAAAAATATAAGTAAACACCTAATACTATTTGGTAAAGAAAGCCCGAGCGGTCTTCTTTTTGAAGCGCGATCCTCTTTTTTACTATCCACTTTATCCTGATTTTTTTCACCGCTTGCACTATTATTTTTCATTGTTTCCACATCTGTTGGAAGATAAATTAAAAGAAATGATAAAACAGATGTAAACATAATAATAGTCAAGCATTTAAACATCTGAAATAATAATTTTTAATTAAAAATAACATAATTAAAGCAGGTTAATGAATAATATTCGACATTAGGCAAGGGAAATTTAATTCCTTATTAAGGCATCACTATGAATTCCACATGCTTTAAACATTGACAATATTCAGATCACGTGAATTCTTTTCACGTGAAATATTCTTAAGAAAATCTGTCAATAAATCAATTTACAAACGTGTAATTCCTCGACATCGCATTCAACAATTGATAAAAGTTAAAAGTGCAAGCATGTGACAATATATTCAAATTCAAATGAGAACTTTATAAATTAATTCCGTAAGAGATGAATGGGATGTTGATGATAATGTTCAAACGGATATTGTTAAATTGGACAACTGTTTTAGGTTAATTATTAGTAGTTTAATGATAATAGTTAAAATTAAAATTTACTAAAAAACGGCAAAATAACTTTATACATAATTTATAAAATGAACGGCAAAATTTTAAAATTAAAAAATTTCATAAAAATATACAATACAAACATTAAATCAAAAGGGTGACAAGGAAAACGTGAATTGAATAACTGATGATCAAATTTAGCTGAAACCGGGTCCCAGGATTTATGTTTTTTAAAAGCTTCCGTATTCTGTCTTAAGACAAGAATACCGTTTTTTATGGTAACCATGTTAAAAATACATAAGGTAAAATATGTACATAACAAAACAAAATTTTGTATTTCAAAACAATTAGAAATGTCGATCACAGTCTTCCAGATTTTTATTTTGATCCACTTCAAGATTTAATAATTTTTGTTGACCTTCTCTAAGCAAACTCTTATATTTTTCAGTCATACCTTCATATTCTAATAAACTCTTAAGCTTTATCTCAGGTTCTTCTGTCATAGGTTCAACCTCTAAAATTTTTTTAAATTTTTATTCTTGTTTATAATAAGAAAATTTGAGGTTAAAAATCTCTTAATCCTTTAGCTGGCAAGCGACTAAGTAACAAGCGACTAACTGTTAAGGTGCAAGCTCTATGGCCATTCGGTTGCAGAGCGGACGAGTTTGGGCTAGAGGTCCTAACGGTAACACTTAGGTTCTAACACCACCAAAGTCAGGAATTTCGTGTTGAACTGCTTGACTATTCTGCTTTACTAGCCCGCTTCTCGGGCTAGTCTATGTAGCAGGTTTTCATATTCTAAAAAATATAAGCAAAATACCACTTTTTGTCTTAAATCCAAATTCCAAAAAATTTTCAAATGTTCTATTTTTGTTTATAATACGACATTTTGAAGTTAGAAAATCTAGAATTCCTTGAGCAGACAATCGGTTAGCTTCTTCGCCATCCAACAAATGCTAAAAAATTAAGTATGATAGTAATTAGAATATAAGAATACCGTAGCCAGTAAAAACAATGATGGATAATTATTCATAATTTTTAGAAGCAATGTTATAATTTTTCTAAATTTATTTACATCCATAATTATCCAATCTTTTGCTTTCGATAAATAAGTAAAAAACTTGTTGATTTCCGCAAGATTAGAAACCTAATGTATGAAAAATTAATAAGCATTTTAATAAATTATTAAATTTTGTAAAAAAAAATTTGTTATTTGTTAATAATTTTTCTTTAAATTTGTTAATACTTTTTTAAACGAGCTTGAAAAGTAAGGTTGTCGGATAGTTGGAAATCTTCGTATATCAGAATCAGATCTCCTAACCGAAAATTTCCGGATATTCCACCACATTTCGGATCCGACAACCTTATTGAACAGGTATTACTCGAGGAAAGCAATTATTCAAGGGAGACAGTAATACCGTATTTAAATTCCTAATTTAATAGGTTTTTACGTTATTAAGCCAACTGTCAAGATCTATAGTCGAATATCGGTTATCATTCAACAAAATCATTTGAAAAATAAGAATTCCAAATTCCCATGTGTCAGTTTTTGTTGAAGCATAATCCTAAAAATGAGTAAAGCTAAGCTATGGACAAATTGAATAGGTTAAGGTTTTGAATGAATGATTAGGTAAAGATTCAAGTGCTGTTTTACAATTCATTAAAATAAATAATAATACCTTTGCATTGTAATGTTTGTCAAGCTCAGATTTCAATAATGAATGTAGCTCGGGCGGCAAAAAATATAGTGAGGTTGTTCTTCTTCCGACAAGAATTGCAGGAATTTCATTCTCAATTTCAATATCAGCAAATAAAAGACTTCCTCCAAGGTCTATAGCTTTTAAATTGTTTTTAGAATTAAATACAACATTTTGTGGTTTAAAATCCATATGGATGGCAACTAAAAATTATTTAAAATATTTAAATAAACATATGCTAATAAATGACCAGCATGCATTTGAAAAAGAACTGTTGCTGGTTTCACTAATTCCTCCATTAGTTCCGATTCTGAAAGTCCATTTCTCTCATAGATTTGATCTCCGATATATTTTAAAAAGTTATTTCCACCTAATTCGGTTATAATAACATATTTAAAATCGTGTTTAGCTTTGTCATATTCAGAATACTGGACGTTGCTAATTTCACCACTGTAAAAAGATAATAAATTTTAGATTTTGAATATGCCCTAATAAAACGTTAGAAAGCAATATTGTAGTTCACTGAATATATCTCCAAAAATGACCGTACCGTAAAATGACCGTATACCCTTAAGACTATATACTGATGCTTCGCCAGAACCGCAAATTTGACCGGAACCGGAACTGAAAATTTGTCAGGAAACCGGAACTTCTGGCAAAGTACTGCTAAATACCCTCATGAATATAATTGTCTGGATATTAAAAAATCTTCTGGGTCTTGTATCAATATTAAAAATCACCGTAAAGTAGCAAAAAATTTTAAATATCCTATCTAAACATTTAAATTATTTACCCATCAATCATTTCAATAATACCACTTTCTTCTGAATATCCATGATATTTATCACGAAATGCTTTGAATACTCTCATCTCATTTTTCGGATCATAAAGTAAGTCTTCCAAAGTTTCTGGACCCTTACTCATTCCAGGATTAATTGTATTGTATCCAACTAATTTAACAGCAACTTCAAGTTCATTACGAGTATCACAACAAAGTCCTTTATAGACCTGTAAAATAAATATATTTGTGTATTAGACTTAAAAATTTATCAGTGAATCTCTCATTTACCTCAGCAACTCCACCTTTTCCGATCATTTTCTCTAAGGCGACCTTTACAAATCTATGTTTCTTTGTGATTTCAGATGTGAATTCTATTAATGCAAATTCTCCGTTCGTTATATTTTCATCGTTTTTTGAATATTGTTGAGTCAAATCCGAATGAGTTTCATTCAGAGGTTGTGAAGAGATTACAAGAGATCTGCAATTTTTTTAAATTTATTAGTGAGAAAAAAATAAATTATATTTTAATAGAGAAAATTTATGGGCTTTGTCTTTATTGTGATCTTATCTTCTAAATGAAGATTCAACTTTTGAATATCGCCTAATTTAAATTTTAAAAGCTCGATAATAAATATTATTGTCAAACGCATCAAAAAATATTTAAATTTTAGACATATCCCTATGTATATCTTATTGTTTAGTACCTTGGAGGAGAGGTCGAGGATTTTTCGCTAACATTTGATCCAGATACGTCGTATTCATTACTCATTTTATCTTTTCGGGTTACTATGTGTTTTGAATCTATTACATTCCGCCGTTTTGAATTTTTTAATTTCCTTTTTAACTCTATAATAGAGGTACGTTCGGAACCATCAAAGAGGGATTCATTTTCATAATTCCCTCCATTTTTTGTACGTATTGGCTTTAATCCTTGTAAAAATATATCATCCGTAGTATGATATAATTTATCATAATTAGAATGTGATTCTGTTTGATCCCTAGAAATTCAAATTAGCTAAAATTTTTAAATGTTTTAAATGGTGGAATCTGGTATTCCTTTGCAATTTATCATTCTATTGGACTATTACAGGTATTAGGTATCAAATACAAATAAATGTATGAGGTATTTGATGGATTAGCCACTCAGAATAATAACATACAATTTATACTAGTGTAACCACGACCCAGTTGGGTTCGAGAGTGTCTGGTCGGGCTTGCCGAAGATGTTATGTTAGGACTTGGGGTTGGAGTTTTTGTAAAAACGTTGAGGTCAGGGTTTCGGGTGAAGGGCTACCCTAATTTGTACTTAGTCATATTACCATAATAAAAATTTCTATTAAAGATACCCATTTTTTGTCAAAAGTGACTCCGGACACGATGTTTGCTTTTTTAAATTGCTTTTGATATGTTTTGTTGGTTTATGTTTTTCTGTTTGTGATTCTTCAAAAATGTCAGATTTTGGGAACCTATAGTATAAAAATTTCGATGAATAAAAATATTAAAAGGATTATTACAATTGCGAATGCTGATCTCTAGATGAATAACCGCTTTTATCTTTTGCCGATTTAATCTTAGCACGCAATGATGGCAATTCTCCGTCATAGTCTTGAAATGAAGTTTTAATCCTCGGCAATTGTATATCACCCAATCCGTTTATTTGTGGAGATTTGGATTTATCATTTGTTGAGTTGTAATTCTTTTCTGGTGATTTTTGAGTGATTTTTTCTTTAATAAAATTTATCAAATTAAAAAAAATTTAATAAGTATTAAATTTAAAAATTAATCTTAATTTCAAAATTATTAATATCAAAAATTTCAAATTATTTCAAAACATCTATTATTTACCTTTAACAGGGTCCAAATATTTTTCATCTGGTAAATCTCCCGGAAAAGTTAAATTTAGATGTGGTTGCTCCATTAAAGTTTTAGGTTGAAGGTTTAATGGTTTCAAACCATGCACAGGCTTAATTTGATCACCTGTGATTTCAAAACTTAAAATGATGATCGTGTAAAAAAGAATAAAGATTGTAGAATTCCTGGCTAGGAATCTCATTTTCTAAAACAATTAATTTAGGAAAAAGTTTAATTATGAATATCAAAGTATTATGCTTTAATTAGATATTAAATAATACTGTAAAAATTTGCTAAGGGATTTCTCGATTATACATAGCAAGTTTAAACAGCATAGAAAAAACAGGAACACATATTTTTAATAATTAGGTTGAGCAATAAGGTTTGTCAGTTTACTATGTTTTGTCGGCGATAAGTTTTGCCGGTTATTAATGTTATTACTGTCGTAATAATAAATTTTTTCACACTAAATGTCTAGGAATTTAAATTTCTAGCTATTAAATTTAAATAGACTCCATATTTTAATAAATTTTAAATTAATAAATGACTAATATGCCCTTTTAATAATTTAAAAATTATTGACTATTTGAAATTGAAATTAAACATTGATTAATTTAAATTTCCTGTCTAAATTGAATCTATTTCCTGTGTAAATTAAATCTATTGTCCGCGCGATAAAATTCATATGATGCGTCTGCTTTAGAGAGAAGACCGGAAACGCAATAAGGCCGGAAATAGATAAAACCGGAAACTCGCCGGAAAAATGATAAAACCGGAAGCAAGTTAAGACTGGAAACTCGAGGAAACCGGAAACTAGATAAAAAATTTTTAAGTTTTTCGAGTTTCCGGCTTATTGCATTTCCGGTGTATTTGTTTCCAGTTATATTTTTTTTATTATTTGTTTCCGGTTTATTTGTTTCCGGTTATATTTTTTTTTATTATTTGTTTCCGGTTTATTTGTTTCCGGTTATATTGAAGTTGAATTTACAATGAGTTTACAATAATAACTATTTCTTAATTTGTATTTTTTAAATTTTTTGCACTTTTATTTAAAAATAAATCAACAAACATGCAATCACATGCCCTCTTCCCAATTTGTCTATCTCTCAAGAAGTCCTTTTAAAGTGCATTTTACATTGATCATTTGCGCTTGCCAACGTAATTATCAAAGGCTTTTTGAAGTTTTGCCGGCAATTTTTGGCATCTTATTTCTTTCCGCTTTCATAAATAAACAAAATAAAAAGTCAAAAAAATTCTTTAAACATTCAAAAAATTTAAAGCTAGAGAATGAACTCACCTCGCTATGTTTTGTTGAAAATATTTCTAATAATATTTGTCAATCAAGGATATATTATTGGTTCTTTATTTTTTAATTTCCAAAGATATTTTATTAAATCTCGAATTAAGGTCTTCCTTCTTTTCAACATGATACTTTTGAAATAAGTTGTTCTCGTCTATATGGTGAAACAACAAACCCTTCATTTAGTGACATATTTTATAGAATTAATTTTTATAAACTCTACAAAATGTTGAAACTTGATGGGAAATCAAGTCGGGAAACTATTTGGATTTTGTTGGCTAAACTGCTTGTGCCGTTACCAAGATGGGATCGGGGCGAGATTTTACTCAACTTTTGTCGTGCTGTTTCATACGAACCTGTGGTAAGATTGATGGTATATTATTTAATAATGTTTAGCATGATCATCGTGGAAAACAACTCAAAACTTGTTTTAATAATTTATTCGATATAAATGATAGGGGATTTGCTGGAATGAGGAAGGGTAAAATGTACACTGAAGCTTCAGCTTTATATGAAATGATGATACTCGAAAAATCTAATATTTTGGGTGAAATTCTCTTTGAAGCGCTTGAATCAAACGGTGGGTAGTTTTGTTTAAAAACGGGATACCCCACGAAACGGGACACGAGTTCACCAATCAACTCCATTTTTAGATCTGAAGACCCTCTTCAAAATATTTTTTGCTCATCCGCGTCATGAAATCCTACCAATAATTGAGAAACAAGACGAATTCTATCCATTTAAAGAAAAGCTTACAAATTTGTATTTGAACAAAAAATCTAAAAAGGAAAAGGAACTGAAAAAATACGAGGAGATTATGAGTAACTCAACAAACATTTTATTAAACCATATTAATCTGAAAAAGATGAAGGCAGATGATAGCATGAAACAAGTCTATGATTTACTTTTGAAGAGGATTGATGCATTCAGTGGCAGACGTCTTCTAAATGATGATTATTATAGCGTATGATAGTGATTCACCGGAAGTTCCGGATCCGGTTGGCCGGAACTTCCGGAAATCTTATCTAAATTAATAAACTTTCATAAATTTCCAGTATTTCAAAACAGTATGCGATTTGACTAAACAACCAGTTCTCAATGAAGAAAATTTCGATAGATTGATTACAATTATTGAGAATCTTCTGATACTTTTTGAATTCAAATCAGCTTATGCGGTTGAATTTGGACAAAAATTGCGAGAAACGGAAACTACAACGCAAAAATGTTTGAAAAATCTGATAAATTTGAAATTGGAGAATGAAGGACGAACATATAAAGGATTGAACTCTACTCTGCAAACAAATGATGGCGTAGAAATAATGTAAAATTCAATCAAATGTTTATTATTTATTCTTAAAATTTAGAACAAATCAAGAATCACGTTTAAAAATAATGTTAACTAAGCAGGCTTATTTTAAAAAATTGAGGGAGATAATGGAAATTGCTATGCTTATGGAGGGGGAACATGACTATTCTTATCGTTTGCAAAAAGAACTTCAAGCAGTACATAAAAAAGGAAATATTACCGGTAAGTTAAGAATAATATCAGGATCTAAATTCTTAATTTTAAGGAGCTATCAAATTTTTATTCCTCCATATGGATAAAGATATGGGCAAAATTATGGAGCTTTATAAAAAAGATGAGTTAAAAAAAGATTTAAAAATGTTTGAAAATCGTCTTTATGGAGTCAATAATTTTATCATGGCTTACAAGCAAATTTTGAGTCAAATTCAAGATGAAAGCAAAAACTGCTATACTGTAACAGAAAAGGAGCATAAATTGTTGAACGAGTTGGAAACTTTGGAATTAAAAGATGATGGTAAGAAAATAGGTTTATGTAATTTTCTGATAGTTTAGGAAATTTTCTGATAAACCTCCTGACAGTTATTGCTAGACGCTTTCGCTCACCATATACAGGAACACGACCACTGAGCTCCCGGGGCATCGACTAATGCTTTCTATTTTTCCTTTTTAAATCGTTAACCCTCCCTGCCTAAGCGTTTTAAATGCTCCTAACAATGTAACACTTTGTTTCTAGCAAAATACTCCCGGATATATAAATTGCTGCTAGAATTGATCAATACAATATTGAAAAAATACAATGGAAATTTTCCTGAAATTCCGGTAGAGGATAGCGAAGAACTCGATTTAAGAGAGGAGGTGGTAACACCAAATAAAGAAGCAGAACTTGGAGACTTAATTAGAAGTTTGATCGAAAAATATTTGTATAATGTAAATTTATCGGACCTGAATTTTCGAGGTCTTTTTAGCGAGTTAAGAACAAATTTGGTTAGTGAAGAAGAAAAGGAAAACATATTGAAAGAAGCTAACGGATATAGAAAACTTGAACATAAAAAGGAGGTTGATATATTTAAAAGAACGAAGAAAATGATCGAGTTTATTGGAAAAGAAATTGTAGATTTCAAAAAGATGTTGAATGATTTTAAAGATAAACTGATAATACAAAAAGTGAAAATCTCTGAAGAGGATAAACTGTTTCACGATAAAATTGAAATATTTCAAGCAGTATTAGACAAACTCATACAGAAATATTCAAGTCCTTTTATTGATATTATTAGTTTTGGAGATATTAGTATGTTGAACGAGGCTATAATAAACGATGAAATTAAGAAAATGGTAAGGATTGATAAAAATTTAAATATTATTTTGATAGGAGAAGGACAAGGAAGCATCATCCTCAATTAGAATCACAAACGAGGAAATTAAATCTAATTTTGAAATTGGTCAGAATTCATCTTCGGAACATGAAGTCATAAAGAAAGGTTGAATTTTATGAATATATAATTAATAATCTGAGCTAAAAACTTTACAGAATTTGATAATAATGATAATGGAAAAGAGGTAAGTATTGAACAAATTCCGATTTATCCGAATCGGTTTATGGTATATCGTAATAAGTCTATCATATAGAATAATAGAGATTTTACATTTTAGAAAATGTTTAATCAGCCAATTTTGGAAAAGTCGACTCATTCAACTCATCAGGAAAATGAAAGCATCAAGGAAACTGAAATAGATGAAATTGAACCCGAAATATATTTAGACAATGGAGTTAGCAATAACAACATTCCGACGCCTTTGCAAGCGGAGATTCAAGATAACGAGTCAGTCAATGGTGATGATTTTCCAGCTACGGTTTCTGAACATGAAAAGGTAGTTCTTAGTCAAATAAAATTAGAGAAAAGAATAAAGGGAAATGGATATTTCTGAACAGAGTAGGTGATAATTTTTGAAAAAAAATACAATGAAACATCGGGGTCTAAGAAAATTAAATGAAATATTTGGGGACTTAAAATATAATCGAAGGTCCTAATCTCATATATATAATTTAATTTTTATAGAATATGCCATTGAAGTGGTATACTCGTGCCATTAGCAAAATCAAATTCTGGAAAAAGAATAAATGAGTGGAAAAAATATTTTGAGAAATACATAGTAGATTAAGATAATTTATTTTTGAATTTGTGATATTTTTAATTGATAGTATGTTAAAAAATTTCTTGAAGTAAACTTTTGAAAATATTCTATGCTGATTATTATAAGTTTAATTTTTTTAATCTACCTAAGTTTACTCATTTTTATAAATACTATATTTTATTATTTTTATCATTCAAAAGCATTATTTATATTTTAGAAAATTCTCCATTGATATAAAATATTTAGCAAGATACTCCTGAAATTAATTAAAGTAGAATAAATACTTTCATAAAATTTTGATTAAAGGCAATTTTCTAAAAATGATTTAAGCCTACCATTTTTCAGATTTTTGAACCTTTTAAGAAAGGCTTGTCCTGAAGGGCTCAAACACTCGGGTTGATTGATTTGACTTGCTCCACATTCAGGTTTAATTACTGACCAAACTTCATCCCTATTGCAAAATGACCATTTCATATAGGAAATTTTCCGGACATCCAAAAAGTGTAGGCTGGAAAAATAATATTTATAAAATTATTTAGTTATTTGTCAATATTAAAATAGGTCGAAAAGCCGAAGACCAAATCAAAAGCCGAAGATTTTCGGTTCGGTTCGGTTTCAGTTTTGCAAGGAATCTGCTGAGTTCGACAACCCTATTAAAAAAATTTAACAAACATTTTTGTTGTCGCCGCTATATTCACTGTAGCCCCTGGGGTAACATCAGCATCACCATATTCAGAAACAAAAACTCCGATATTATTTTTAATCGCATTATCAATAAGATGATATTGACTATTAATATGAGCTTGATCCTTAACTGCATACCAATGCATTGTATAACTGAAAAATTAAGCTTATGAGGCATTATAAAAGAGTCATACATAGTGTTACTGACACGAAGAGGGTTGCTCACAACTTCAGAACTTGGACCAGACGAAGCTTTAGGTGTTCCAAGGATGCATACAACATTTGAATCAATATTTCTAATAGCCTATATGGATTTTGATTTTTCTCAAATTTTGTTATAAAATTAAATCCGTTCACCTTAAGAACTTTCGAGTGATATTCACTAATTTTATCCCAAGTGCATTGAGGTTCATTCCATAGCTCTAATAACAAGTTAGGACTTCCCTTGAATTTACCCAAAATTCTTGTAAAAAATTCTATTGCTTTATTGGTAAAACTTTCAAATGCATCTTGATTATCGCAATTTTGAAAGCCGTAGTGAAGATCAACCACAAAATAAATTCCATTCTTAATAAAAATAAAATAATTAAAAATTTATTTATTTAATTACATCTATTGCGGCATTTCCTATTACAGTTGCTGCATTTATAGCTTGATCAAGATTGTCAAAATAGCCATTAGCTTCGGGTCCTATAGCTGCACGAATCTTTAAAAAAATTTTTGAAATTGTCAAAAATAATTTAAGTGATAATTTATTACAACGTTGGAGTTAAATGTACATTTTACTGCTCGCACTACATTAGGACTATAAAATTCAGTTAACCATTGACTGAACCATAAAGAACCACCGCGTAACTAAAATAAAATTTTTAACAACTTAAAAATTTTTAAAAAACTAGCCGGAGCAGGGTTTCCATCAGAACCAACTAATTTTCCATTATTTACTGAAAGACGGCCGTAAGGAGGGTCAGCGGCTTGAACTATTGTAGCAGAAAAATAAAAGATAAAAATAAATTTTGGGTAAGAAAGCATTTTTAATTTTTTTGAATTTATTGGAATTTTAGTATACCCATAAAATGATTTTTATTGTAAGGTATTTTATAAATTTAACTCGTTTTCCACGTATTAAAACGCTTCCTGTACACGTCGAAGGTTCAATTTTCATAGTTTATCGCTTTATTGTTTGCCACATAATTTTAAATAAGCAATTGCCCAGCAAAACTTTTTTTTAAATTAATTCATTAATTGAAATATTGCCAAAAATATAAATTTCTAAAATTATTTATTTAAAATTTTACCAAGGAGTAAAAATAAAATACAACTTCGTCAACAAGGGTCAATACTGGTAAAATCCAGTATATTGAGGTTGATATTATGGAATACTTAAAATTATTATTATAAAAACAGATAAGCAAATATAATAATATTTATAATAAAAATTTGGCAAATAATATAATAAATTATTGAAAACAAAAATAGAAAAACAGAAAATGGAAAAGTAAAAATAGAAAATAAAATAATTTTTAGTTAATCAAAAAGTTGATCAATTCGACAGAAATACATAGCCGCTCTATTGAAGAGTTATGTTTGATTAGAAAGTACCGCTAACGCTCTAATAGAAACAAAAGAATACAAGGTCGAATTCTGATTTCCAAGTTCCGAATTTTGAGCAAGTTCCGATTGCCGACACCTTTGACTGTTCCGACCCACCACTGCAGCCTCATTGTCTGGTAATTCCTATCTAAGTGTTCAGATAAAGTTCCTGCCATTGATCAGTACCAAATAGGATAATTAATTCATTGAATAAATCAACTATTAAATTGATTATTTATTTATTTTATAATAGTCATTTTAATTTTGATCCCTATTTTTCATCTCATTCATAAATAAATCCACCTCCATAAAACTTCAATTTTTTACTATTTTCAGCCTCTCAAATGAAGTAAAGATTTACACATTCTCTTGATTTTTTTAAAAAAGTGATCTTTTCCGGTCTAATCCTTTATAGCTTCCCAGCATTTCATCATCCAGCCACTTTTTCCGGCCTTTTTAAAACAACTGCTTACATAAAACACTTGGAAAGTTGGTGGAATGTTTGTTAAGTTGACTAATGTTGGAAGAGAGTGAAAAAAGCCGGAACCAGAAAAAAAGTTTTAAAAGATTGGCGAGAAAAAGCGTTAGGATAAACGTTAATATTAAAAGTGCAAATATTTCCGAAAATTAGTAAAATTTTAAGTCAATAAATCGTAAGTAAATGAATTTTAGAATATGTTTGAGATGTATAACTTTTTCAGGATTATTTTAGACAATATCGCTTATTACGTCATACTTATGAGCTAGTATCTAATTAGGGTTGCACCAACTCAGACCGAAAGATCGAGTCGGGCCTAAGATATTTGGCCCGAAAGTGACTCGTACCGGCCCGACTCGAAAACGGCAACCCTATTTCTAATGCTTCGTTCCTCAAGCTTTCATAAAATTTAAATTTTATAAATTAAAATTTTAATAAATTCCCTAAATCCCCTAATATATAAATTCCCTATACTACTCAAACACAAATTTCTAAATTTTCCAAGGCATTCTTTAAAACCTGTAGATTCCTTTGTAATTAATCTATTGTAAAAATCGACCCTAGCTATCGAGAATTGTATAATAAACAAAGCTTTATCCCTCACCTAATTATAAATCCAAGGCTCTCTTAAAGCTAATAAACTAAGCAAGAGAAGCAGAGATAAAGATCAAGCCGTAATTTTATAAAAACACAAGGCAGACAATTTATGTTTGCTTACACATTTGCTGAGAAATACAACGCCCCCGCTTAGTAAGCTTCTCGTTCTCTCATTTTTATTTATTTATTTTTATTTCCTTCGTCTTACTACATTCCTTGGCCATTTAGTAATGGAAGCATTCGATTTAAGCATTTTATTGTTGTTTATCAGGCGGGAAAACACATGTGTTATTGAGATATTGGATAAAAAGAATTCTTTTTGTTAAACTTGATCAGTAAAGTCCCTAAATACTTTATAGAAAGCCTGACCAGCTAAATATTTCCTGCTTCCAGTCAATCCCATTATCCATATGACAGCTGCTTTTATGCTGCTTTTTATCTTTGCCTCATCTATCTTAGTATTTTTCCTTCCGGAAATTTCTTGGATATGCCGTAACAATTGTTGTCTTTCAGATCATTTATTTATTTGAAGCAAATGTTAGAAAACCCGATTTAATACTATTTTAATTCTTTCAATATTTACTGATCTAGATTATATAATTCTAGCAACAATAATCTTCAAATTGTTTATTTTATTTGGATCAAATAGTTGCGAGAAATTATATAAAATTAGATTAGTAATCATTCCTTTTTAAATATTGTTAGTTCGGTAGGCAGAAGAAAACTGATAATTATAAGATTTGCTCCTTCATATCGCGTTTCTATTATTATTGAAATTTATTCCCTTATTGTCAGATTCCTCAAACATAGCTGGCGGTCGCTTAAAAAATAATTAGTATTCGTTAACATTAAAAAATCAAAAACACAAAAACAACAAAGTTTGTAGAATATGTCAAACTCCTTGTATCGTAGTCCAAGCATGGCACATGGAGGCGCATTATACAAGTCGCCCTCAATGAGCGCTTTTGCTGGTGGAGCACCTTTTGGTGCAATGTCTGTAGCTGATTTGGGAAGCCTCACTCGCCTTGAGGATAAGATTAGACTCCTTCAAGAAGACCTCGAATCTGAACGTGAACTCCGAAATCGCGTATGTTACAAAAAACTTTATCATTTTTGGAAACTGTTTCTTTATTGTAGATCGAACGTGAACGCGCAGATCTTAGCGTACAGCTTATTGCTTTAACTGACCGACTTGGTTTGTTTTAATATAAATTAGTTCTATATTTGATCATTTAATCTATAAATTTTAGAGGATGCCGAAGGAACGACTGACGCTCAGATCGAGGCAAACCGCAAACGCGAAGCTGAACTTCAAAAGTTGCGCAAATTGCTCGAAGAGTCTCAATTGGAGGCTGAGGATGCCCTAAATGTTCTTCGCAAGAAACATAACGTAATTACATTTTTTTAATTATTTATTTGGATGAAAACTAGAATATTATTAAAAATTCCTTAGATTTAGGCAAAAATTTTTATTTAAAATTTTTAGGATGCCTGCCTCGATTACAACGAACAGATTGAAGGATTACAAAAAAAGAATGCAAAGTTTGCTTAATTTTATTAGGGTTAGAATCGAAATTATTAATAAAGGATCGACCGTGAGCGTCAACGCTTGCAGCATGAAGTGATCGAGTTGACTGCTACCATTGACCAAGTCCAGAAGGAAAAGGTAAACTTTTGAAATGATCGAATAACCCTTAAAATATTTCCCTAAAATTTATGTAGCATGCTGCTGAGAAAGCTGCCGAACGCTTCGAAGCCCAAGCCATTGATTTGGCCAACAAAGTCGAGGACTTGAACAAGCACGTTAATGATTTGGCCCAACAACGTCAACGACTTCAAGCTGAGAATAACGGTTTATACTAATGTTTACAGACAAAATATTTTGTATTTCTTATTCCAGACTTGCTTAAGGAAGTTCACGACCAGAAAGTACAACTCGATAACCTTCAACACGTCAAATACCAACTCGCTCAACAACTTGAAGAAGCTCGTCGTCGTTTGGAGGATGCTGAACGAGTAATTTAAATATAAATTTTTGAATAATACTTTAAATTGAAAATTAGGAACGCTCCCAAATGCAAGCACAACTTCACCAAGTTCAACTTGAACTTGATGCTGTTCGAACTGCTTTGGATGAGGAATCTGCCGCTCGTTCGGTTTGTTCATAAGCCGAGGAAGTAAGAAATAATTTGTCTGTTATTAAAGGAGGCTGAACACAAATTATCCCTCGCAAACACGGAAATCTCACAATGGAAGAGCAAATTCGATGCAGAAGTTGCATTGCACCATGAAGAGGTTTTTAAATTATTCTATTAAACCTTGGGTTTACTCAATAATTATTATTAATTATACAGCTAATTATTTAATCAGTTTGTAATTTAACTGTTGTCTATTCGAAATTTGCGGTTTAATTTTTTGGAAGCCAAGTCTCCTTGGCTAAAAATTCCTTAATTAGGAAAAAATAATCCTCAATTACATTATCAATTAATGACAGGTCGAAGATTTGCGCAAGAAAATGATGCAGAAACAAGCTGAATATGAGGAACAGATCGAGATTTCCCTCCAAAAGATCTCCCAGTTAGAAAAGGCAAAATCTCGTTTACAATCGGAGGTTGAGGTTCTCATTGTTGACTTGGAGAAGGCGCAAAATACCATTGCCATTTTAGAACGCGCTAAGGTTTGTCCTATTCCTAGACACCCATAAGTATTGTTCCCTTTCAGGAACAACTTGAGCGTACTGTTGCCGAATTGAAACAACGTATTGATGAGTTGACAGTTGAACTTGAGAACACGTAAAAACAATAAAGTTATACTCGATTTATTAAAATTATTTAGTCAACGCGAGTTGCGCGGTGCTCTCGCTGAATTGCAAAAGATGAAGCATCTTTATGAGAAGGCTGTTGAACAAAAGGAAGCACTTGCACGAGAGAATAAGAAATTACAAGGTTAATATTATGTAAATTATAATTGAAGTAAAATTTTTAGATGACTTACATGAGGCAAAGGAAGCATTGGCCGATGCTAACCGTAAGCTTCATGAACTTGACCTCGAGAATGCTCGTCTGGCTGGTGAAATCCGTGAACTCCAAACCGCTCTTAAAGAAGCAGATGCTGCCAGACGCGATGCTGAAAATCGTGCTCACCGCGCATTGGCTGAACTCCAGGCATTGAGAATTGAAATGGAACGTCGTTTACAAGAAAAGGAAGAGGAACTTGAAAATCTCCGAAAGAATATGCAATTTGAGATTGATAGACTAACAGCAGCTTTGGCCGATGCTGAAGCACGTATGCGAGCAGAAATTTCACGGCTCAAGAAGAAATATCAGGCTGAAATTGCTGAATTGGAAATGACAATTGGTAATTTGAAGGGGCTTAATAAGAAAACATACCTTACGCTTAGAGGGTGGGGGGTGCACATAGCTATTTAATACTCTTTATGATTAACTTGTTAAAAATAATTAGATAACCTCAACCGTGCTAATATTGAGGCACAAAAGACCATCAAGAAGCAGAGTGAACAACTTAAAGTACTCCAGGCCAGCCTTGAAGACACTCAACGCCAGTTGCAACAAACTCTTGATCAGGCATTTATCAAACTCTAACTTTAATTTATCAAAAATTACAGTATGCCCTTGCTCAACGTAAAGTTTCTGCGCTAGCTGCTGAATTGGAAGAGTGTAAGACGGCACTCGACAACGCAGTTCGCGCACGCAAACAAGCAGAAATGGATCTTGAAGAAGCCCATGGACGGTAAAATTTAATTTTAATTTTTGTATGTATTATTACTGGTAATATTATAGTATCAACGATCTCCAGTCCATTAACAACAATTTGACTGCAATCAAGAACAAGCTTGAGACTGAGCTTTCAACTGCTCAAGCTGACTTGGATGAGGCTACCAAGGAGGTGATTTTTAATAATAAATTCATTGTGACGGATTAATTTTTTAACTTTTAGTTGCACGCTGCGGACGAGAGGTTGAAAACATTTTAAAAATTCTAGCTTTTCTCAAAAAGTAATTCCCAACTTTTACTTTCAGAGCCAATCGCGCATTGGCGGATGCTGCTCGTGCTGTTGAGCAATTGCATGAGGAGCAGGAGCACTCAATGAAAATTGATGCCCTTCGTAAATCCCTCGAGGAGCAAGTTAAGCAGTTGCAAGTCCAAATCCAGGAAGCAGAAGCTGCTGCGCTTTTGGTATTGAAACTACTTATAATTTCATTCTTCAAACATTAATCATATACTCCTTCTAGGGAGGCAAGAGGGTAATTGCCAAGTTGGAAACTCGCATTCGTGACCTTGAAACTGCCTTAGACGAGGAGACGCGCCGCCACAAAGAAACTCAAAATGCTTTGAGGAAAAAGGATCGCCGTATCAAGTATGTAGAACTATCGCCTCGAGTATCCTTTTTGATTAAGGGAGATGCAAATGCAGATCGATGAAGAACACAAAAACTTTATCATGGCACAAGATACTGCTGATCGTCTCTGTGAAAAGCTGAACATACAGAAACGTCAGCTTGGAGAAGCGGTACATCTTATCCTTTTTTCTCTCTTAAAGATTCTCTATAGGAGGCAGTAACCATGCAAAATCTGCAACGTGTGCGGCGGTATCAGCGTGAGTTGGAAGACGCTGAAGGACGTGCTGATCAGGCTGAAAGCAGGTTAAATAGGGCTAGAATCTTCCTTTAAATATTAAAAATTATAGTCTTCATCTAATCCGTGCCAAGCATCGCAGCAGCGTCGTAACCAACAAGAGTAACTCGCCCAAGGTTTATGTTCTCGAGGACGAGCAATAAGCTTTGAATTTCAATTTAAATGGAGGACAGAAGCTCAAGCATTAGTCGACCGACCAGCAAAGCATTTGTTTTTGAATGCCTTTCAATAAATATTTACCACATAAATCAGTAGCAAAAATGTAAGGAAAAGGTTAATTAATTCATGTTTTAGTTTCAAAAATTTTTTGCTACTGATCCGCGAAACAATCAAATCAGTGCCTTTTCTCAAAGCAATATTCAAAAAAAATTTTTTTAATCTGTAATTATTGTTTATTTTATGTCTCACAATTTTAGCCTTAGTAGAAATGCTCTTTAAATTAATTTTTGACGTGCTTTGTAGTAACCTAATTCAACTACTTTTTTCTGGTCATTTTTCAGTTTTTGATCATTGTTTTTACTTTTTTTTGAAGCAAAATATAAGATTTTGAGGAAACTTTTTAAATTTTTAAGAAACATTTTTAAGAACTCATTTTGCTTTAGAATTTATTTTCATTTTTTGTTTTCTTCTTTTTACCACACCACACAAACATTTCCACGTATATGGGAATTGCTGCAAACTGAACAATTGTTTTATTGGCCCAGAACCGGATTCAATTGATCAATCATCATCTTTTAAATTTTTAATTAACAGGACTTTTATGGGTACTACTACTTTATGAAATAAATTGGTTTACCAAAATTTTGGACATTGAAAATTTTTTTTAAAAAAGTCCTGTTATAAGTAAACCCTAAAGCCTTTTATTGTGTATCTGCCAGTCAATTAATTCAATCGTGGAATTGTGCCCATATATACAAAATGTATCCTAAAATCATTAAAACGGCAAACAATGCACTAAAAAGCGTGTATTAATTTTATTAACGCGCTTAATAGCCGTACCACTTACCGACCTTTATATCTCCTTTTGTTGCTTTAAATATTTTTCAAATTTGCAACAATTGTGTAAATTTTGTCGGTGAAATAAATAAATATAGTAAAAAATTTTTTGTAATTTTAAAGAATTATCATATCGTATTATCATATAAATCCACCATAAAAACATAATAAGTAGCGTTAACACGCATAGATAAATTCAAACATAGGGTTATAGGTGACCGGTTAATTTTACTTGTTAGTATGAAATAGGTAGCTTAATTTAAACTAACTTTTATTCCAGACTAGATTAAAAGAGTTTAGCAAAAGTTTAGCCACAGGGCAGGGTTGCACCTGCGACTCGGCTTTGCTCACTACTGGAGCATCGACTAATGCTTGTTCATTTTCTTTTTAGATCGTTCTACCCCGTCTAAACGTTCTAAATGCTCTAGGTGAATCATCCTTACAATACAACTGCCCCGATACCAAACCGGACGATCTCACAAACACGTGGATTCTTCATTAAATTTTTACAAGTTTCTGCTTCCAACTTTTCAAATGGGTATAGAAAAGAAACCCACGTTTACAATTATTTCCATCATCACTCTGCTGATGATATCCTCGTGAGCAATGACGTTAGTATATTAGCGGAGTTAGATTCTAGATTTACACAGCAAGCATTTAATTCTAAAAAAATCTTTTAAATTTTCCATCCAACAAATTTAAAAAATAAAAAATAAAAATCCGACATCCATTTACGTCAATCCTGATAGAAAATTGAGAGAAACGCTAATAGAAATTTATTTTAGGTATTAAAATAATTTATTCAAGCATATTAAATGCTTTCTAATAAAAATTATTTTGCCAAATTTTGCCATGAAACTGACTGAATAAACAAAATACACATGAAAAAGAAAATTTTGGCCAAAGATTTAATTCAGTTAAATTATTACCAGTTAAATCATTTAATTATTTTCCAACATTTAAAAATTAAGCAAGCTTCTATAAGCAATTGAGTAACATATTTAAAAATTTATTTAATAAATAAAATGATTTCTACAACTATTTTAGCTTTTATGGGTATAATCTATCTTGCCTATCTTGCAACGGGCATTAATGGATTGATATTGGTAGAAATTTATTTTTAAAATTTTAAGGAAGGGCTTATTGGCAGTTAACCTACTGGCAGTTATTGCTATGAACTTTCACTCAAGACGTACGGGTCTCCGACTACTGAGCTCCAACTTTTCGGAAAATCCCTGACCCCAATTTTCCGGAGCCCAACTTTTAATAGATCATAAGCCTCCGCCTAGTAAGCGTTTTAAATATGCCTTCGGGTTTTCAGTTCGGTTCGTTTTGAAATCCGACAACCCGAGTTTTACTCTGAATCTCTCTACTTGCTTAAATTTATTTTTTGATTAACAAATTTAAAAATAAAATTTAAATTTTTTCAACAGAAAAGAGAAAAGCGCGAACAACAACCCGAAAATTTGGATTCTACATTAGAACCCCAGGGAACAACAAAACCAGGATATGCTTATGATGCTTTTGGAATTATTAGTTCTGATGAACCCGATTCTTCCTCGCCATCTTCACGAGATCCGCCTCTACCTCCTCCTCCTCCAAAAGCACAGGATCTATCTACAGAAGAGCCAATAACCTCAACTTTAATGCCAACAACAATTTTATCAACAACAACAACTCCAGTTCCAACAACTACAACACCAAAACCAACTACACATAAATCTACTAAAGCACACAAAACAACGAAAAAAGCAATAAAAATATTTATAAATTCAGATCCACTGCCAGAAGGTAAAGGTGATAGAAAGATTAAAGCATTTGGGCGACTTTTGATTCCGAGTGATACTGGGTCAGCTTGATTAAAAAACTGAACAGTAAAATGATAAAAATAAACATTTATGATTTTTTCCCTTTATTCCTAGTGTTTCTTCATATTCGAAACTTTTTAAAAACACAAAATTTATTATTTATCGGGATGCTTTGTAAAATATTATATGATAATTCTTATTAAATTCTATTGATATATGTATTTAATTCATTATATGTAGCTTGATGTTAAAACCAAATACTAAAATATTAGAAATGAATTTTGGATACTGGATTGTAAATTTATAAATACCGTAAAACTTTTATAACTACCTTGAGTAATTATTGTGTTGACTTTCCGCTGAAGGGAGTAGTTAATCGAGGGAGGGTAATTATACGAGGGTTGAAATTTGGAACGTGTTTTAGGGCATTTGATGGGCGTAATTATTGTTTAAATCTATCGATGGATGGGGTAATTAATACTATGAGTGGGGTAATTAAAGTCCGTTAAGAAATTATAAGAACAAGCATTTTTTTGGTGTTTCTCATCTTTCCTATGTTCAATCGTAACAAAATTTTTTTTAAAAATAGATGTTCTGAAAATATTAGGATTTTGAGAGTTTAAGAGAGTTTTGGTGAAAAATAAAATTTTTATGATTTTTTTTCTAAAAATGGTGTGTTAAGAAAATATAAGAACAAGATTACAATCCTTATTTTCTATGCTATAATTTTTTCAAAAATTCTGAAAAAATTCTTGTGAACATTTCCATCAATATGGAGTAGAAAAGCAAAAAGAACGAAGTTTAAAACTCCTTTCTTCATTGAGATATAAAAACCCCAAAATCAACGGAAAACCGGGTTACAGTACTTCAAAAAATATTTTGACCCCCTTAGGGGTTATATAAAAAAATTTTTTTAGGCCCTCCAGAAAGCCGACAAAATTTGCTACAAAAAATATTTGGTCCCATCCTTGAGAAAAATTCTCCAATTGAGGACTCATCGGTTAAATTTAAATGTTAGAAATAATGACAATTTATGGGGTAATTTGAGAGAATTTATTTATCTGCTCTTTTAACAGGTAGCTTCTCAATGATATGATTTTTCTCAAGGATGGGACCAAATATTTTTTGTAGCAAATTTTGTCGGCTTTCTGGAGGGCCTAAAAAAATTTTTTTATATAACCCCTAAGGGGGTCAAAATATTTTTTGAAGTACTGTAACCCGGTTTTCCGTTGATTTTGGGGTTTTTATATCTCAATGAAGAAAGGAGTTTTAAACTTCGTTCTTTTTGCTTTTCTACTCCATATTGATGGAAATGTTCACAAGAATTTTTTCAGAATTTTTGAAAAAATTATAGCATAGAAAATAAGGATTGTAATCTTGTTCTTATATTTTCTTAACACACCATTTTTAGAAAAAAAATCATAAAAATTTTATTTTTCACCAAAACTCTCTTAAACTCTCAAAATCCTAATATTTTCAGAACATCTATTTTTAAAAAAAATTTTGTTACGATTGAACATAGGAAAGATGAGAAACACCAAAAAAATGCTTGTTCTTATAATTTCTTAACGGACTTTATTTGAGGGAGTGTAATTAATACAGTCTTGCATAAGTTGGTATATGTATGTATATGATGTTAATTTAGGTGTTGCTAAATTTTTGTTTCATTAAAATTATTCTTACACCAATCTCAAGCTAATTTTAAGTAGGTGAATAATATGAATTAGTTGAAGAATGTTAATTAAAATATTAGAGAATTTGTTAAGTTGCGATTCTCTAGCTATTTCGAGGAATTGAAGCAGAATATTTTTTTAATTTTCTTAAGTATTTGGAGTTGAGTAAATTTTAGCAGATCTTTGAGAATTCTTTCCTCAATTTTTATTTATTTTTGGTAAAAAATAAAAATATTTTTATTTACGCCAAACATAACATGAATAATGTGTATTAATTCTTAGCCAGAGCCAAGTTTATATCCAAACATCAAAGAAAAATAGACACATTCAATGGTTGGATAAATATTTTTATAATTTTTCATAAAAATTTATCTTGAGTTATTATTATTTTGTGGTTTAATGCTGCTAATAAAAACAAATATGTATGTGTTTTAGAATGATAATAATAAATATCAAAGCTCAAATGGAGGGTTATTTGAGTGGATACTTAAGCTAACAGAATAGTGCAATAATTAATTCACTTAAATAAAAGTTATCTCTACAAAAAATTTAAATAATTTTTTTGAAATAATTTTTTAATTATGCTTTATTTAAAAGCATATAGCTATTGAATTCCTAGAGCTGTGCAGGAGGTGCATGGAATAATGGATAGAAAAGCAATCTGGG